GTTTATGTTTTTTTTTTTAATTTTCCCCCCCTTCCCCCGCTACAGAATTTCGTCAATAGCGTCCATATTTCAAATGCTACCTAAACCAAACTTTGCACACATAATTAATATATAATTGTCTACTGTTGTATTAAATTTTATTCAATTCGGTCAATTCTAAGAAAAGTTATTAGCAAAACAAATCCTCGCCAATACAACCCCCACAAACTGCAGCAACAAGTTCGCTCTTCTTCTTCCTCTTTTTGCTGCTGCTATGGGCGCATATAACTCAGTGACGGAAGTTTACCTGGGTACAGGGTATTACACTGTCGGGCTTGCTCGACTGTAGCGTTCTCTCTTGTTCTAATTGTTATACCCTGTACCCGTAGGGTAAAAAGGGTATATTAGGTTTGTGCAAAGTATGTAACATACAGAAGGAAGCATCTCCGACCCCATAAAGTATATATATTCTTGATCAGCATGACGAGAGAAATCGATCTAGACATGTCCGTCCGTCTGTCCGTCCGTCTGGATGAACGCAAGGATCTCGGAAACTATTAAAGCTAGAATAACCAAAGTTGGCATCCAGATTCTCCTAGGTCCGAGTAAGGACGAGTTTATTTTTTTTTTTTAATTTCCCCCCCCTTCCCCCGCTACAGAATTTCGTCAATAGCGTCCACATTTCAAATGCTACCTAAACCAAACTTTGCACACATAATTTATATACAATTATCTACTGTTGTTTTAAATTTTATCAAATTCGGTCAATTCTAAGTTATTAGCAAAACAAATTCTCACCAGTACAACCCCCCCAAACTGCAGCAACAAGTTCGCTCTTCTTCTTCCTCTTTATGCTGCTGCTATGGGCGCATATAACTCAGTGACGGAAGTTTACCTGGGTACAGGGTATTACACTGTCGGGCTTGCTCGACTGTAGCGTTCTCTCTTGTTCTAATTGTTATACCCTGTACCCGTAGGGTAAAAAGGGTATATTAGGTTTGTGCAAAGTATGTAACATACAGAAGGAAGCATCTCCGACCCCATAAAGTATATATATTCTTGATCAGCATGACGAGAGAAATCGATCTAGACATGTCCGTCCGTCTGTCCGTCCGTCTGGATGAACGCAAGGATCTCGGAAACTATTAAAGCTAGAATAACCAAAGTTGGCATCCAGATTCTCCTAGGTCCGAGTAAGGACGAGTTTATTTTTTTTTTTTAATTTCCCCCCCCTTCCCCCGCTACAGAATTTCGTCAATAGCGTCCACATTTCAAATGCTACCTAAACCAAACTTTGCACACATAATTTATATACAATTATCTACTGTTGTTTTAAATTTTATCAAATTCGGTCAATTCTAAGTTATTAGCAAAACAAATTCTCACCAGTACAACCCCCCCAAACTGCAGCAACAAGTTCGCTCTTCTTCTTCCTCTTTATGCTGCTGCTATGGGCGCATATAACTCAGTGACGGAAGTTTACCTGGGTACAGGGTATTACACTGTCGGGCTTGCTCGACTGTAGCGTTCTCTCTTGTTTTTTAAATAATACTTTTCTGATAATACTTTGCTTTAACTGAATACAAATTTCCATTTTAATAGGAATCGCTCTTTATTAAATTGTTTCAATACAATTTTAACAATTTATTTAAACCTTCGAACTTATCATTGCTGTGTTTGTAGCCCAGTGTATGTTTTAAATACAATCGTAAAATAGGTACATTTTTAATATGAGGAGGTAAAGCCATGGCCAGTAAACTGATAAGATAATAGTTACAGGCATTCGTCATACTGATGCACTTGAAAAGTCCGATATAGCGATATGATACTGCTTAGTATAGATAATGAATATTTACAAATATTTAAATAGGGTAAAATTAAAGAATACAAGTACAACCATTTTGCAAAGAATCGAATCTCGTTTTATAAGTTAAGGAGAATGTATATCCCGATTCGAAAGGAACCTATTTTCTTCGAAAGGGACAAAATATTGTGTATAGTTTTATCAGACTCCATGGAATTCAAGTACTTCCAAACTCTCTTTATTTATGCTTAATAAGAGAAGAACCATTAGAAGTATAATGGAACTATAACAGCGTACTGCTTACTACTCTTAGCTTGGTTAATATTGCATATCATCAGGGCGTATATTGCCTGCTTTTAGGCTGTTAAATAATTACGAATACCTTTAACACAATTTTTATATATCATATGGTATAGATGATATCCCAATAAACAGTAGCGAAAATAATTTAAGCATTATTGCACAAATTACAAGTGACAAGACCTTTTCCTACTCATGACTCATTAAGTTTTTTCCTTTTTCGACATAAGCACACATATTTATATGTATTTAAAAATATGTTTAATAATTTCTTTTCCATCACAATTTCCTCTGAATTATGAAAGCAATCAGTTAGTGCACATAAAGTCCAAATAAAGATAAAAAATAACACCGGGTATTTGCCATTTACTTTTTATTTTATGGCACTGCGATCCTCATAACCATAAAGAATTCCAATAGCATGCAAGCTATTAATAGATGTCGTTGCAAAGGTTAATTAACTCGTTGAGATGAAACTGGAAATCCAAGGTGGGGGCTCAGGTTCCATACCTAAAAATTGCATAAGCAATATTTATTTACACTTTTACAACCGTTTTCTTAATTCCTTTCTATTGATTGGCATCTTAATGAGCATAATTACAATAAATATTCAGCAACCGAACAGGTTGCAGGAGCAGGCATTTTAATTATTTAATATTCATCTTTAAATATGACGGCGCTATTGCCAGTTCTCCAAAAACTAAAGCAAACAAAATACGTACGCAAACATATTTGAAACTATTATAATAAATGAGTACGTTCATACATACATAATTAGTTTTTTTCATTTTAACCAAATGTATTTATAATTCGATACGGAACAAGTTTGAGGAATTTTTCTCATAATTAGCATTTCCAACGAACTTAAACTCAGATTCATTTTAAAATTATTGGCAAAATTAGTAATTGACATAAACACAAGATTTATTCGGTAAATTCTTGACACTTTAGCAGCAAATACGTATACTTATCTCTTTATTAATAAATAAAATGTTGACTTTAACCATAAAGCATCAAGTCAATACAAAGCATCATTGTTTTAAGCCGTTGTTCCTGCTTGACTAGATGTCAAATATCATCTGCCACTACTAAAATTTATGGCCAACAAAATATATGTTTTGTATGCAGCAAGGAAAGGTGAATTTTTGTCAACTCATGCCGACCGCACAACTTTTACTAACACGATTCGAGCTTAATTCTATGCTCTCCCAGCTAATCCGAATTGTGACAAAAAGCTTATCACAAAGACCAGTTAATATAGCCTGCCATGCAACCGGTAGCTGTTTAAACGGACAAACGCGCCTGCAAAACTTCAAACGCAGCTTACCTCATCAACAGGTTTTTATACTCTGTACATGAAATGTACAAGAGTATATTAGGTTTGCGGGAGCTGAAAAATGTAACAGGCAGAAGGAGGCGTGGCAGACCCCACAAAGTATATATATTCTTGATCAGCATGACGAGACGAGTCGATCTAGCCCTGTCTGTCTGTCTGTCCGTCTGTCCGTCTGTCCGTCTGTCCGTCTGTCCGTCTGTCCGTCCGTATGAACACCTGGATCTCAGAGACTATAAGAGATAGAGACACCAAATTTTGCACGAAGATGCGTTATGTGTGTATTCTATACGAGTTTGTTTTATTTTTTTGATTTTCCCCCCCACTTCCCCCCTATGGGGGTTTTCCCGATTTTCCATTCGTATAATCGCCTATATCTCGGAGACTATAAGACCTAGGAACACCAAATTTTAGTCCCAGATGCCTTATGTGAATACGCAGAAAATGTATATTTTGGAATTCCCCTCCCTCCCCCCTCTACCCCGCAAATTGTAACTCCCGTAATTCTTGGAATTTCGAACTAAAATTTTGGAAATACCCCCAGTTAGTTATTATGTGTCCGTATGCCAAATTTCATTATGATAGACCGATTTAACAAGAAGTTATAGCCATAAATATATTTGCTGATGCAGCGCTGCTGCAGCGCTGCTCAAGCGCTGCCCGCGGCTGTTGTTGATGTTGCTGTTTGGTTGACTGCGAAAATGCTTACACAGACACGAATAGATGCGCATAGGCATACATACACTCACACAGACGCAATTGCTATGTAAATGTGCAATTATACACCCTTTACGTGAGTTCGAATACCGAGAGAGGTAAAATCGATCAAATTTTTTTTTTTATTTTCTTAATTTTTTTTATTTTCTATAATTATTGTAAACATATGTACAGAGTATTTCAAAGTCGGGACACCCGACTTTAGCTTTTTTACTTGTTATTGCTTGCCTTTTGATTTGTTTGCTTGTCTATTTATTGTTTTTTCCAATCAGTGCTGCCTCTTTTTGAATATCACAAATTGGCTAAAAATAACCAAACAAATGAAACTGATAGTAAATATTTCATTCCCACACAAAAATTATGTTCTAACTCTAGGAGCAATCGGTTTTATAATTGGTCTCACTTTTTCTTGAAAGACTTCATGTTTATCGGTTCAAATTTATGAACTTATAAATCAATATATTTATAATCAAAAAAGATTTTCAGACAAATTATTTTTATTTTTACGACTGCTTCATGTGTCAGTTTGGACTCTTTATTAAAAAAGAGCCATTAGGTAAGATCTTAGCCAATATTAATAGACTATACATACATGAAAGTAACTATTCTAGGTACTATCTATTAATTCCCAAATTCCCACCAGCATTAATAAACTTGACAACTGCCGTGAAAATAGCTAAATTCGCATCACTGCTCCTACGTACTATCTCTCTAGCTCCCTCTCTCTGTCTCTCCATCCGAACGGCTGTTCAAAAACCGGCATATCCGCTCATGAGCCGCACAGCTGTTGAGCTCTGAAGCTCAAACGTGTTGCTCACAACAAAAGCAATCTTTGTGCGAGAAAGTCGTGCGCGGTGATGTGCGAATAAAAAATAAAAGGGGAGAAACGATAAATATTTTTCAATCAGCCACTAATAAGAAATTCAATTAATTTGTGCCATGCCAAAAAAGTTAATTAAGATCAAGAAACAATTAAGCTTATTAGACAAAGCACATTTAAGCAATACCTGAGGGGCAACAAATAAAAAGTGTTTCTATACGTTTTACGAAAACTGTGAAAAAATATTAAAATGATGCTCGCTTCCGTCGTGGTATGTCAGATTGAGAAATTATTTTGCACGCCCATCAGCTTTGCTGTGTTCGCGTTCCTGTTCATGGCCTGCACCATGGAAGTGGTCCTTCTCAAGTTAACGACCAGTGCGCCCGTATTTGAGCGCCACAACGATGACTGGGACGATGGCAGCGAATACGAAGAGGACATTTACTACGAGAATCTAGAAAACAGCTACGAGCACTGGGCGCGCATGCGCATGCGCTTTCGTCAACGCCAGCAGGAGCAGCAACGACAACAACTACTTGTGGCACAACAAAGCCAATAAGCCTTAAACACTACACAAATATATACTATATGTATATGTATATGTATAGTATATATAGACGTGCTTTGTTTTTGTGTGCGTTTCAGTGTTATTATTAAAATTCGCATGCGGTCGCGCATGGAAAGTGCAAACCTCGTATCGAAAGCAAATTGTTTATTGCCTAATTTTCTAAAAGATTGCAAGCCGATTTACTTGAATACTTTGCTTTAAACAAACTAAAAACGCTAATAATTCTGGGCACGTCTGTACTCAAAGCAAATTGTATATGATTGAGTATATGTAGAATTGAATTTGAAGCGTGGCTTAAGCACGACAAATCACAAAAGCTATTTACGCGAATATGTTGTGTTGATGCCTCGTTCTTATTTGTTTAGTCAAAGTAAAGCGCCGACACATGTACATATACACATCAATCTGTCATACTTATGTTTTAAAGCTTTAGTATTAAGTTTTGCCAAGTTCGAAAGATTTTCTTATTGTGATACAAAATTATCTTTACAACAGCAAACAATAATGTCAACAAAATTAAACAACTTAAAAGAATATTTTTAACGATTTAAAGATTTATTTGGTTTTTAAATTATTGACACATACAAACTTCAACATTAAATATCATTTGGTGAATGAATTTTAAAAAAAATGTCCTTTATACGAGTAGAACAGCAAGTCCAGAACCTATAATAACAATAATACCTATATAGGAGTTATAAATTGCAAGCCCCTCCATAAACATAGACTGTGTATACCTAAAAATGTATTTAGTTTAAGAAAATTCAAGATAAATAAAAATACTGTCATTGCAAAACAATTTTGTTTGCAGATTGCTTTTTCTTGTTGTGGCGTCGTGTTAGCCATAACTGGTTTGTGGCATGTGCAGTAATTTCCGCATTGTACCGTTATGCAATAAAACAACGAGTGAAAGAGAGTGTGAACTACACTGGGATATTGCCTAATCTTTGAATAATTGGACAACTTTTTCAGATTCGAATTGTGTTTTATAAATCTCGATGTATACTTCCTTAAATTTGTTAATAAATTATTAAACATAAGCCGGCAGCCATCGAATGTTTTGCCTTTAACTAATCGGTATACTAATTTGATATTTTAAAAAATTATGTGCCTCAAATATGCGAAACATGGCCTTGCAAAGTTTAACAACCTTTTGCTAAAATACAGACGACAACCAGACAGCAAATACTAATACTAATAGATATTCTCTATTATGTGCGATGAGTCATATTGCAATGCGAGAATGCGTTAGAATTAGTGCAACATTTTTTAACACACACACTATTATAAAAAGGAAAGTGCCTTTAATCCCAGCTTTGAAGAATTGTGTCAATGGCCAACACAAGATGTGTCAAAATTCTTACTAGAATTAGTTTTTTTTTTAAGTAAACAAATTAGGCACATTCGACTTTCTTGAATTTGCATAATTTAGCATTATGACGATGACTATGAAACCACTATCATACTATACAGTTTCAAAACATGTTTTGAGCGATGCGCCAATCTCTCATCTAATTTACATTTTTTTGCCATCTTTTAATGAGAGACCAAACAATAATGTTCTTTCCTTTTTTCAGCAAAATAGTTGATAAGAAGACGAAGAAAGAGCAGGCCGTGGAGGAACATAACTGTAATGTCTGCTGTGCAGAATTGGACATTAGCAATGCCAAAAAGTAAGTCGAGCCTACATACTTGTAGTTCGTCTATAAAAACTAATACGTCTGTGATGGCAATTTACAGTTACGTCACATGTTCCACATGCGGGAAGTTCGTATGTCGCGGACTTAAGTGCGCCGATTGGCTACCAAAGAACGCCAAATGGGAGTGTGAGCTCTGTCACAGCTCCAAGGAGTCCATGGCACAGACCTCATCATGGGTTGCCGAACAAATGTCCTTCAACGAACACAAATTTGTCTATCCAATGCGGGCGCGTAGTGAAATTTATATACCCATCAGTGACTGCAACGATAGCACAATGCGTAAGTACTTAACTAAAGTATTTAGCTGGTAAAGCTTCTTCGAATGGTAACCACTGAGCTAGCACCCAGAGCACTTCAAGGTAGATTAAAATACAATTGAGATACGATCCGTTAAATTATATAATAATGTTAAAGTGATCGGTAAAAAATATATGTTGAAATCCAATGAATTTTATACTTTAGTATTCCAAAATTGAGTTCAATTCTGTACTGTACTTGCAAGAGGACTCTCCAAAAATAGTATGTAGAAAAGAAAAGAAGAAAAATAAGGTATAGTGTCATAAGTAATTGCTTAATTTTGTCTGCATTAAAAACTTTTTTCATCTCCGGATGATTATTGCAACTTATGGTGAAGCTTCGTTTAGTGAGCAACTAGAATCCTTTCAAAAGCTTACCATTTAGGAAAAGTACAATAAATCTTGAGCCATAAATTGAAAATCAAAAGCTACTAAAGAAATAGGGCTTATTGGTAGTGCTTAATTACCCAGATAATAAAAATGTTGTCAATAAATTAAATTTCTTTTCATAATTGGTTTATTTATATATTATTGATTATCTTTTGCAGACTTCGAAAGTGTTAGTCAAATCGGCGCTAACAGCGTGGCCATAATGAACTTAGATGATCGCACCAAGATACGAGAATATGTTGAAGAAATTATAGCTGAAATGCTAGGCGGCAGCCTAGAACACATTAAAGTGGGCCAATTGTCAAAAAGTGAAAATTGTGAGTACTGATGCCAGTAGCTTAGATTAAGGCTTAGATTTGATTAAAGTAAATGCAATTGTCGTGGCATTTATTATTTCCACGAATCCATTCAGAGTGCAAATCGCACACAATTTGCACAGATATGTACTTGTATATGCTAAGGCACCATAAGACGCTTAATTGATTCGGCAACATTCTCTACAGAGAACAGAAGAGAACCAACAGGTTGGCGCAAAGGGGGTTGCGTCTGTTGCATACTCTTCGCGGGTGCTGCAAAAGCGCCTACAAAAGTTCATAGCATACTTTATGGTGTTTATTATTATTTACTATTTCTCACACATTCATATCCCACCTCGCACACACGCAAACCGATTTGAACACAGACTTGCAACTCTTTGATAAATACCACGCAAAACTGAGTAACCTGCTTATCAATGTGGAGAACGCTTTGTGCGCTCGGGCGCTCAAAGGAGGTAAGTCTGCATGACTGTGGCATACTCGTATTTGGTTGATACTATCATACTATGATACTATCAGTATACAGCACCCTAACGTAGTTGTCTTTGTGGAGTCGAGCATTTACAATGTTTACTAGCCTACATCTGTCTCTTGATTAATTGTGATTAAAAATAGAGTGCGTTGTTATTTTAATCCTGCCTATGAGTGCGCATGGCGTATACGTAATTAGAAAAGTATGCTGCTATATCTTAGAAGTCATAATCAATGTTGAAGCACAATAAACGCCAAACGCTGTGCGCTTATCACTAAAAATAAATAAAACAAATTAATGTACGAGTAGAAGCACACAAACCCACAACTCAAATAGATGACACACACCTATGTATGTATGTATGTATGTATAGTAAGTATGTATGTATGTATCTTTGTGTAGCAATATAAAATCGCGGTCAATGCTTTGCTTGGCATTGGCAAGTCGGCGCTTGCGATTCACTTAGAAAAAACAACAACAATAATATATAACTAGCACAATGATAAGGCCTAGACCCACGCACACACATTTAATAAACCTTTTCTGATAAAGCACACAATGATTAGAATTTTGTATGTATTCTATCTGTAAGCATGAACTTGTAGTATATAGTATCTGCAGCAACTCACTCGACTGCGTACGAATCGAAACAAGTCAACAAAATTAAAACCCCTTAAGTCGTAGCATTAATTGGCGTTTGGAAGATGACATGCATGGATATCAATCATACGCACTGTGCGCCGTAGGGAATATTCCAAACAGGTGGCAATGACCAAACCTAGAAGCAGCATTCTATTAGGCCTCTACCAATCAACGAAGCCAGCCATTAACCGGTTTCAAACAAACTGAACTTTAAAACTAAGCACAAAGGTGCTAATTGCTGCTTTACACGGCCACTTGAAACAACTTCATCGAAATTGCTTGATTGAAGTCGTCACGCTCTTACAAAACTAATTCATTATGGGCAATAGAAATGCGAAAATGCACAAAAATTATGAAGCAAATAAAATCCCAATATCAAGCATTCTAATCTCTCATGCTTCATGGGATGGTAGTCCAATAGCGTCAAGACCTACGTGATTGCGCCGGGCACTACCGAGATGTCCAATCAAAGCCTTTACAATGACGCTGGGTGCTTTTCAATAGACACACAGATAGTCTGCTTACAGGTACATGAGTATGTATGCGAGCGTTTAACACAAACACAACACACGTTGCTCAGCACACACACACACAAACATACACACACGCCCGCACGCAGCTCAGAGTAAAGTAGCCCTCAGTTGGCAGTTGCTTCGCGCTCCGTTCACAACGTTAGACGAGACAAGTCGAGCCGGCAACTTTTGCGATTAAAGTTTGGGACCAACTTTTTTGCATACACAAATACATATGTGTATAAAATTCTAAATGGAGCATTATTATAAAGATAGCATAATATACTAAATATGAAATAATACGAGTGAGAGCGGGCCGGCTATGCAAAAAGACCACCATTTTCATCTTTTTGTATAACTGGTGGCGAGTGTTGTTAAAATATAAAGCAGATAACGTTGTTCAGCAAAAAAGAAACCAGAATAAGCAATCAACACTTTAGTGAAGTTGACCTTGACCTTAAGAAGTATATACTCGTAATAATAAAGCGGCAAAAATGAAAATGTGTACAAAACAAAAATCGAAAGCAAATTAAATTTACATACATTGGCAAATCAACTTTCGCAAATATTTAAAATTTACAATGAATTAAAAACAAATATATGCAAAATGTGCGCCCGCGGTCAAGTGTGAATTTTCGATATTACAAGTATTTCTATTTGATTTTAATTGTTTACAGTTGCCGAAATGCTACAGAAATGTTCAGAGTTTTTTAAATATTCTAAAACGCTTATCAAAATAGAAATTGTTGTGCGTGCGTTTAACTACAGTGTACTATCTTTCTGGGATTTATCTATGCCTGTGGAATGTTCATTGTCATCAGTGCATGAATCACAAAAATAAGCTAAAGAAGTTGAACGCAATCACAAGAAATTATTATTACAAATTTTGAGTTGCCAACACAATATAGTGGATCTGTAAAAAGCATGCCAAGTACTTACTAAAAATAAAACAATTGCGCAATCGTGCGCCAGTTGATGATTACAAAGCAATTTTATGCCAAGCACCAAGTTACTTTCTGAACTGTGAACTCAGCTTGTACCTTGCTCTAAGCTTAACAACGAGCTGAAGGTAAAGCTTAAGCACAAATCAATGTACACTGCAGAATCTAGTAGAGGAGTTATTTTTATAAATGACAAAATAGCTACAATTTATGCGTCTATGCGTCTATAGAATTAAAAAGCAGACAAGAAATGGAAATTTTTGGCTAAAGAAACGAAACAATGTGTAGTTTCTACATTGACTTAGACATTTCTCCATACACAAATGACTAACGGCGCGAAACTAACATTTTAATGCAAAATAGATACTTCGATATTGGCTATTTGTAAACTTCTGCGATTTTCAGCTCGAGTAAGCCATTTGTTTGGCTTGGGGCCGAGCCGCGTGTGGTGATCGTTGACTGGCCAAGCGTTTAAAGTGACAGCTATGCAAATAATTTCAGTTGGCTTACAAAAATATTAGTTTAGTAGAAATAAATTACCTACTCGCTGCATAATCAATTCTTCCGCCCACCTAAACTCCTAGCCACCCATATAGGAGGTATAACGTGACGTCTTAATTAAGACAAGCTTCTAATATTTACTCCGGGAAATTAGCAACTTTTGCATCGTAATAGACAAACTGAAGAGCCTGTGCATGAATGAAAAGGCAGAAAGCTGACTCAACAAGAAATAAACAAATAAACAACAACAATATAAGTAGATAAAAATAGAAACAGTGCTTGTATAGAAACCCAATAAATATAACAAACATATATTAATTGTTGTGTGTGAGAAGCGCATGCGCATGTCCCAACCCCGACAGCATGGACTTTACGTTGGGCCTGATAACGGGCATGTATGCCGTTATAGCCGTAATTGTGTTTTACGTTGCTTACGTCATTGAGGTGAAATTAGGTACGATTTGTAGATAATAATCACAGTGGTTTACTCAGTGGCTTCTAAAGTATTTGTTAACTAACTGATCACTTAATGAGCCCGCCTGAGAACGCCACTAAACACAAAATCCATACACTTACAAATAAGTACATAAATATACCTACACTTACTTTCTATGTCTTTTAACACACTCGGCATTTCACTTTTCCATTATGCGCCAGTTTGTTTTGTACTTACAAGTACATAGCTCGACTTTCGTTCTCAGCATTCGACGACAAGTTAACAATTCTTTATGCTTACAGATTTGCCCGCCATTGTAAATGGTCAAAATGCAACAAACAATAATAATCATAACAACAACAACAACAACAACGAGCAAATTGGCAATGCTTCGGACTTTGGAGACGTTTCACAGACCCGACTGCGCAGTCTCATTGAGACCATCATTGCGGAAACGCTGCGCACCAATGCCTTGACCACAAGTGGGGCCGTCTCAGAGATCAGTCTAGATGCTCGTAGCAACAGCCAATTACCAAATGGCAATGGCAAGCGACGTCATCGCACAGAGCACTATTTTGAACCGAAAATCTATCAGGATTTATTGGCAACAGCGGTGCTGAACAAGGTAAGCCCTACTGACCTGCACAATAATTTGTGCCACCACCACCACCTGTTGCTCAGGTCTGCGACGACTTTCAGCTGTAGTTTAATTATTTGTAGTATCGGGCTTTCCTGCTCTTGCATCACATGTTTTCGTTCAGTTTTCGCTTTCATTCAAGGCGCACTTTATAGGCTTCAAATATACGAGTATTCTAAAAATCACCACAGTTATAGTTCAAGCTAATTAGTTGCGGCTCAACGTTAAAGGTGTGCAGACGTACCAAACCAAAATACGCATATTTAAATCACAGGCATACCGCTAATTGGATAATTTATTTTATTTGACTTGGAGAAAATTATTTTTGCTGACTAGAAAAGCATCGGCTCTACACTCCACTCCAAAGTGCAATACAATCATGGCCGAATCAGCGGAAAATGTAAATATTTATGTAGACTTTCAATATGTTTTGTTAATTTCCTGTAGTTATGCAACATCTATTTTATATTTCAGTTTATTCAGTTTATTTATAAAAAAACTTTTGTTAATTGATAGTAGAGCTATCTTAAAGGTTTCCTTTGCCCTAAAAACTTCACCCTCGCCTTCATAATTTGTTTAGGCTGCCGAGCTAGCTGCAATACGTCACTGCAATCGATACTGTGACGTTGAAACTGAACGAAACTCACCACTCAATAACTCAACGTTCGTTAAGTCTGCCTTTGCCGGTTCTTTGCCGTTTCTCACCAGTAAACAAATCAGCCGTGGCTTACAACAAATTACACTTCGCAAGGTTATTTCCGCATGTTGTATTTATTTGTTCTACTTTTGCACAGATTGTGGATAAGGAAGGGAATACTAAGATAATATCAGAGAGTACACCGGACTTGAGTGGTCACAACATTGATGAAAATTACAATGCTGAAGCTTTGAGCACAACGTCCGGTAGTTCCATAGAACCACGCAGTGATTGCAGCTTTACGGACAATGAACATGAACTCGTACCCCATGTAAGAGACAATGCTTCAAATATACATATGTATACTATATATATATTGTAATTATTCTGCAGACTGAATTAACTGATTCTCACTTGGAACGTGAATCAGTTTTGAGTGATTATATCGCTTCACATATGGTGCCACTACCAGATTTATCTGCATCTGTTACCGAATCGGAGGATGGTAAGTTGGATAGTTCGCGCTCATATGGTCGGTCCTTTATTTGTATGCAATTTCAGACCTTCACTCAATGTCATCGAGTATGATCGGCGATGGAACTTGGGAAGATAATTGGCTGTTTAAGAAAAAACGTAGCACCTTGCAGAGTTCGGGCACACCGAGCAGCATTGGTATGCTCGTTCCAGCACCCAAGGAAAATGTTCGCGCCCAGATAGGAGATAAAACTGCCGATGAAGTTAGCGATCTTTCGGAAATGGGCTCAGACACAGATGACTTCTCATTGGATCTAATACGTTGTAATGAGTTGAATGATCGCTTATTAAGCAAACATTTAATTGGAGGCCAAAACACCAAACTAGTGCTCGATGAGATTGTAGACCGCACTAGCTTGACCTCAAATACCTTACCGGCAGAAAATGAACCCGCTTTTACTGAAACGTCCAACCCGCTTTTGTTAGATAATAAAGCGTTCGTGACGAAGACAGAAGATAACACAACGGCAGAACTTACATTGCCACCGCCACCCCCGGCATATTTTCAAGATGATATTGAAAGTGGAGAGACCGTCCCATGTCCCATAGCAGGTAGGTACACAGCTTTTCATAATACCTACCCACTTGGATAGGTAATTGTTCCTTTTAAGCACTTCTCCGACCCTCTAACCTCCAACACAATCATTCACTTATTTATTTTTTAGGCTATGAATTCTGTATGTATTTATGTATATCCATTAGAATAATTAGCCCTATAGCGATATTGAAACCAGTTCCTTAAAATTCCTCAGTGTATTTGTGCATATTTTGAAAGCAACGACACTTAGCAGTCGTTTGTGTTACAGCCGAATGCGACTCTGACGAATTGATCGAACTTGAAGAATGTTTGGGCTACAGTACCATTGAACTTATTGATGGTGAAAGGATACGTGACGCAACGCCATCAGTGATCGAAATTCTAGCTGCCATGGCTTTGGGACCAATGCTTGCCGTCCCAGCATCTGAACAACCACCGATTATGACTCCGTCAGAAATTCATACTTTAAAGGAACTCAGCGACTTAGCACTTGCAGAAATACAATCCCGAACAATGGACTTAAATCGACAATCACTTGACGTAATCGAAGAAGAACTCTCAGAAGAAAATATTAATATTGTTGCTGATGTCTCGACAAATGAGGAACACTTAAAACCAATGGCAGAAACTTTTCCACCACCTGAATCACAAAAATCCTCCAATTCGTCTGATATAGTTCCGGAACCGGTAAATGTACCAGGAGGAGGAATTCCAAATCAGGAAGCAGATCAGACTGAATATTTACGAACAGACCAAGAAGGAGCATCCGCTTCGGAACCTACCTTTTTACTTTTGGAAACACAACAAACTTACGTTAATAGTCTCCAAGTCATACCACCGGCTAATGATTTTATTCAAGAATCACTGATTTCACCTCCAGCAAATAAACAAATCCTCGAAGCTTTTGCGACACAAACTGAATCCCTCGACAATCTTCAAATTGCAGCACCAGAAGCTCCACCAGCTGCTGAAGTGATTGTGGAACCTCAGCCTGCAGCTCAAGAAACGCCAATAGAAACAGGGATCGATCAGGACTTGCAGAGTGCACCTCCACAACCCCTTGACAATCCTCCGGCTGCAACATCAGAAGCTCCACCAGCTGCTGAAGTGATTGCGGAACCTGAGGCTCAAGAAACGCCAATAGAAACAAAGATTGATCCAGAGTTGCAGAGTGCTCCTGCACAATCCCTTGACAATCCTCCGGCTGCAACATCAGAAGCTCCACCAGCTGCTGAAGTGATTGCGGAACCTCAGCCGGCAGCTCAAGAAACGCCAATAGAAACAAAGATTGATCCAGAGTTGCAGAGTGCTCCTGCACAATCCCTTGACAATCCACCAGCTGCTAAAGTGATTGCGGAACCTCACCCGGCAGCTCAAGAAACGCCAATAGAAACAAAGATTGATCCAGAGTTGCAGAGTGCTCCTGCACAATCCCTTGACAATCCTCCGGCTGCAACATCAGAAGCTCCACCAGCTGCTGAAGTGATTGTGGAACCTCAACCTGCAGCTCCTGAACTTCTTGACAATCCTCAGACCGCAACATCAAAACCTGCACCAGCAGATGATGTGCTTGCACAATCTCCGCTTGAATTTTTAGTAACGCCGAAAAGATTGGATGTAGTCTTAGAAACTCAAAATGCACCGACAAAATTAGAACAAACTCTTGAGGCCGTTGACAATCCTCAGACTGTAACAACAGAAGCTGCTGAGGTGCTTTCAGAACCCCAGCCTGCAGCTCAAGAAATACAACCAGAAGCAGAAATTATCCCAGATACACAAAGTGATACAGGAGAATTACAAAATAGTCCTGATTCCCTTGACAATCCACAGACTTCAGCACCGGAAGCACCACCAACTGTTGAAGTAATTACAGCACTTCAACTGGAAGTCGATCCTGAGTTACAGAGTGCACCTGCACAATTCCTCCAGTCTCCGGAAACACAGAAGGTTAGGGACACCACAGAGGTACAAAGCGCACCTACAGAAATACAAAAAGCGCCTGAGTCAACTGACAATCCTCAGATTACTGCACCCGAAGCACCACCAGCTACTAAAGTGATTACAGAACCAAAGCCGGCAGCTCAAGAAACGCCAATACAAAAAAAGATTGATTCAGAGTTGCAGACTGCTCCTGAACAATCCCTTGACAATCCACCAGCTGCTGAAGTGATTGCGGCACCTCAGCCGGCAGCTCAAGAAACGATAATAGAAACGAAGATTGATCCAGAGTTGCAGAGTGCTCCTGCACAATCCATTGACAATCCTCCGGCTGCAACATCAGAAGATCCATCAGCTGCTGAAGTGATTGCGGAATCTCAGCCTGCAGCTCAACCATTGCCAATAGAAACAGGGATCGACCAGGACTTGCAGAGTGCTCCTGCACAATCCCTTGACAATCCTCCGGCTGCAACATCAGAAGCTCCACCAGCTGCTGAAGTGATTGCGGAACCTCAGCCTGCAGCTCAAGAAACGCCAATAGAAACAAAGATTGATCCAGAGTTGCAGAGTGCTCCTGCACAATCCCTTGACAATCCACCAGCTGCTGAAGTGATTGCGGAAGCTCAGCCGGCAGCACAAGAAACGCCAATAGAAACAAAGATTGATCCAGAGTTGCAGAGTGCTCCTGCACAATCCCTTGACAATCCACCAGCTGCTGAAGTGATTGCGGAAGCTCAGCCGGCAACTCAAGAAACGCCAATAGAAACAAAGATTGATCCAGAGTTGCAGAGTGCTCCTGCACAATCCCTTGACAATCCTCCGGCTGCAACATCAGAAGATCCATCAGCTGCTGAAGTGATTGCGGAATCTCAGCCTGCAGCTCAACCATTGCCAATAGAAACAGGGATCGACCAGGACTTGCAGAGTGCTCCTGCACAATCCCTTGACAATCCTCCGGCTGCAACATCAGAAGCTCCACCAGCTGCTGAAGTGATTGCGGAACCTCAGCCTGCAGCTCAAGAAACGCCAATAGAAACAAAGATTGATCCAGAGTTGCAGAGTGCTCCTGCACAATCCCTTGACAATCCACCAGCTGCTGAAGTGATTGCGGAAGCTCAGCCGGCAGCTCAAGAAACGCCAATAGAAACAAAGATTGATCCAGAGTTGCAGAGTGCTCCTGCACAATCCCTTGACAATCCACCAGCTGCTGAAGTGATTGCGGAACCTCAGCCTGCAGCTCAAGAAAGGCCAATAGAAACAAAGATTGATCCAGAGTTGCAGAGTGCTCCTGCACAATCCCTTGACAATCCACCAGCTGCTAAAGTGATTGCGGAAGCTCAGCCGGCAGCTCAAGAAACGCCAATAGAAACAAAGATTGATCCAGAGTTGCAGAGTGCTCCTGCACAATCCCTTGACAATCCACCAGCTGCTGAAGTGATTGCGGAAGCTCAGCCGGCAACTCAAGAAACGCCAATAGAAACAAAGATTGATCCAGAGTTGCAGAGTGCTCCTGCACAATCCCTTGACAATCCACCAGCTGCTGAAGTGATTGCGGAAGCTCAGCCGGCAGCTCAAGAAACGCCAATAGAAACAAAGATTGATCCAGAGTTGCAGAGTGCTCCTGCACAATCCCTTGACAATCCACCAGCTGCTGAAGTGATTGCGGAAGCTCAGCCGGCAACTCAAGAAACGCCAATAGAAACAAAGATTGATCCAGAGTTGCAGAGTGCTCCTGCACAATCCCTTGACAATCCACCAGCTGCTGAAGTGATTGCGGAAGCTCAGCCGGCAGCTCAAGAAACGCCAATAGAAACAAAGATTGATCCAGAGTTGCAGAGTGCTCCTGCACAATCCCTTGACAATCCACCAGCTGCTGAAGTGATTGCGGAAGCTCAGCCGGCAACTCAAGAAACGCCAATAGAAACAAAGATTGATCCAGAGTTGCAGAGTGCTCCTGCACAATCCCTTGACAATCCACCAGCTGCTGAAGTGATTGCGGAAGCTCAGCCGGCAGCTCAAGAAACGCCAATAGAAACAAAGATTGATCCAGAGTTGCAGAGTGCTCCTGCACAATCCCTTGACAATCCACCAGCTGCTGAAGTGATTGCGGAAGCTCAGCCGGCAACTCAAGAAACGCCAATAGAAACAAAGATTGATCCAGAGTTGCAGAGTGCTCCTGCACAATCCCTTGACAATCCACCAGCTGCTGAAGTGATTGCGGAAGCTCAGCCGGCAGCTCAAGAAACGCCAATAGAAACAAAGATTGATCCAGAGTTGCAGAGTGCTCCTGCACAATCCATTGACAATCCTCCGGCTGCAACATCAGAAGCTCCACCAGCTGCTGAAGTGATTGCGGAACCTCAGCCTGCAGCTCAAGAAACGCCAATAGAAACAAAGATTGATCCAGAGTTGCAGAGTGCTCCTGCACAATCCATTGACAATCCTCCGGCTGCAACATCAGAAGCTCCACCAGCTGCTGAAGTGATTGCGGAACCTCAGCCGGCAGCTCAACAAACGCCAATAGAAACAAAGATTGATCCAGAGTTGCAGAGTGCTCCTGCACAATCCCTTGACAATCCACCAGCTGCTGAAATGATTGCGGAACCTCAGCCGGCAGCTCAAGAAACGCCAATAGAAACAAAGATTGATCCAGAGTTGCAGAGTGCTCCTGTACAATCCCTTGACAATCCACCAGCTGCTGAAGTGATTGCGGAAGCTCAGCCGGCAGCTCAAGAAACGCCAATAGAAACAAAGATTGATCCAGAGTTGCAGAGTGCTCCTGCACAATCCCTTGACAATCCACCAGCTGCTGAAGTGATTGCGGAAGCTCAGCCGGCAACTCAAGAAACGCCAATAGAAACAAAGATTGATCCAGAGTTGCAGAGTGCTCCTGCACAATCCCTTGACAATCCACCAGCTGCTGAAGTGATTGCGGAAGCTCAGCCGGCAGCTCAAGAAACGCCAATAGAAACAAAGATTGATCCAGAGTTGCAGAGTGCTCCTGCACAATCCCTTGACAATCCACCAGCTGCTGAAATGATTGCGGAAGCTCAGCCGGCAGCTCAAGAAACGCCAATAGAAACAAAGATTGATCCAGAGTTGCAGAGTGCTCCTGCACAATCCCTTGACAATCCACCAGCTGCTGAAATGATTGCGGAAGCTCAGCCGGCAGCTCAAGAAACGCCAATAGAAACAAAGATTGATCCAGAGTTGCAGAGTGCTCCTGCACAATCCATTGACAATCCTCCGGCTGCAACATCAGAAGCTCCACCAGCTGCTGAAGTGATTGCGGAACCTCAGCTTGCAGCTCAAGAAACGCCAATAGAAACAAAGATTGATCCAGAGTTGCAGAGTGCTCCTGCACAATCCCTTGACAATCCACCAGCTGCTGAAATGATTGCGGAAGCTCAGCCGGCAGCTCAAGAAACGCCAATAGAAACAAAGATTGATCCAGAGTTGCAGAGTGCTCCTGCACAATCCATTGACAATCCTCCGGCTGCACCATCAGAAGCTCCACCAGCTGCTGAAGTGATTGCGGAACCTCAGCCTGCAGCTCAAGAAACGCCAATAGAAACAAAGATTGATCCAGAGTTGCAGAGTGCTCCTGCACAATCCCTTGACAATCCACCAGCTGCTGAAGTGATTGCGGAATCTCAGCCTGCAGCTCAACCATTGCCAATAGAAACAGGGATCGACCAGGACTTGCATAGTGCTCCTGCACAATCCCTTGACAATCCTCCGGCTGCAACATCAGAAGCTCCACCAGCTGCTGAAGTGATTGCGGAACCTCAGCCTGCAGCTCAAGAAACGCCAATAGAAACAAAGATTGATCCAGAGTTGCAGAGTGCTCCTGCACAATCCATTGACAATCCTCCGGCTGCAACATCAGAAGCTCCACCAGCTGCTGAAATGATTGCGGAAGCTCAGCCTGCAGCTCAAGAAACGCCAATAGAAACAAAGATTGATCCAGAGTTGCAGAGTGCTCCTGCACAATCCCTTGACAATCCACCAGCTGCTGAAGTGATTGCGGAAGCTCAGCCGGCAGCTCAAGAAACGCCAATAGAAACAAAGATTGATCCAGAGTTGCAGAGTGCTCCTGCACAATCCCTTGACAATCCTCCGGCTGCAACATCAGAAGCTCCATCAGCTGCTGAAGTGATTGCGGAACCTCAGCCTGCAGCTCAAGAAACGCCAATAGAAACAAAGATTGATCCAGAGTTGCAGAGTGCTCCTGCACAACCCATTGACAATCCTCCGGCTGCAACATCAGAAGCTCCACCAGCTGCTGAAATGATTGCGGAAGCTCAGCCTGCAGCTCAAGAAACGCCAATAGAAACAAAGATTGATCCAGAGTTGCAGAGTGCTCCTGCACAATCCCTTGACAATCCACCAGCTGCTGAAGTGATTGCGGAAGCTCAGCCGGCAGCTCAAGAAACGCCAATAGAAACAAAGATTGATCCAGAGTTGCAGAGTGCTCCTGCACAATCCCTTGACAATCCACCAGCTGCTGAAATGATTGCGGAAGCTCAGCCGGCAGCTCAAGAAACGCCAATAGAAACAAAGATTGATCCAGAGTTGCAGAGTGCTCCTGCACAATCCCTTGACAATCCACCAGCTGCTGAAATGATTGCGGAAGCTCAGCCGGCAGCTCAAGAAACGCCAATAGAAACAAAGATTGATCCAGAGTTGCAGAGTGCTCCTGCACAATCCATTGACAATCCTCCGGCTGCAACATCAGAAGCTCCACCAGCTGCTGAAGTGATTGCGGAACCTCAGCTTGCAGCTCAAGAAACGCCAATAGAAACAAAGATTGATCCAGAGTTGCAGAGTGCTCCTGCACAATCCCTTGACAATCCACCAGCTGCTGAAATGATTGCGGAAGCTCAGCCGGCAGCTCAAGAAACGCCAATAGAAACAAAGATTGATCCAGAGTTGCAGAGTGCTCCTGCACAATCCATTGACAATCCTCCGGCTGCACCATCAGAAGCTCCACCAGCTGCTGAAGTGATTGCGGAACCTCAGCCTGCAGCTCAAGAAACGCCAATAGAAACAAAGATTGATCCAGAGTTGCAGAGTGCTCCTGCACAATCCCTTGACAATCCACCAGCTGCTGAAGTGATTGCGGAATCTCAGCCTGCAGCTCAACCATTGCCAATAGAAACAGGGATCGACCAGGACTTGCATAGTGCTCCTGCACAATCCCTTGACAATCCTCCGGCTGCAACATCAGAAGCTCCACCAGCTGCTGAAGTGATTGCGGAACCTCAGCCTGCAGCTCAAGAAACGCCAATAGAAACAAAGATTGATCCAGAGTTGCAGAGTGCTCCTGCACAATCCATTGACAATCCTCCGGCTGCAACATCAGAAGCTCCACCAGCTGCTGAAATGATTGCGGAAGCTCAGCCTGCAGCTCAAGAAACGCCAATAGAAACAAAGATTGATCCAGAGTTGCAGAGTGCTCCTGCACAATCCCTTGACAATCCACCAGCTGCTGAAGTGATTGCGGAAGCTCAGCCGGCAGCTCAAGAAACGCCAATAGAAACAAAGATTGATCCAGAGTTGCAGAGTGCTCCTGCACAATCCCTTGACAATCCTCCGGCTGCAACATCAGAAGCTCCATCAGCTGCTGAAGTGATTGCGGAACCTCAGCCTGCAGCTCAAGAAACGCCAATAGAAACAAAGATTGATCCAGAGTTGCAGAGTGCTCCTGCACAATCCATTGACAATCCTCCGGCTGCAACATCAGAAGCTCCACCAGCTGCTGAAATGATTGCGGAAGCTCAGCCTGCAGCTCAAGAAACGCCAATAGAAACAAAGATTGATCCAGAGTTGCAGAGTGCTCCTGCACAATCCCTTGACAATCCACCAGCTGCTGAAGTGATTGCGGCACCTCAGCCGGCAGCTCAAGAAACGCCAATAGAAACAAAGATTGATCCAGAGTTGCAGAGTGCTCCTGCACAATCCATTGACAATCCTCCGGTTGCAACATCAGAAGCTCCACCAGCTGCTGAAGTGATTGGGGAACCTCAGCCGGCAGCTCAACAAACGCCAATAGAAACAAAGATTGATCCAGAGTTGCAGAGTGCACCTGCACAATCCCTTGACAATCCTCCGGCTGCAACATCAGAAGCTCCACCAGCTGCTGAAGTGATTGCGGAACCTCAGCCGGCAGCTCAACAAACGCCAATAGAAACAAAGATTGATCCAGAGTTGCAGAGTGCTCCTGCACAATCCCTTGACAATCCTCCGGCTGCAACATCAGAAGCTCCACCAGCTGCTGAAGTGATTGCGGAACCTCAGCTTGCAGCTCAAGAAACGCCAATAGAAACAAAGATTGATCCAGAGTTGCAAAGTGCTCCTGCACAATCCATTGACAATCCTCCGGCTGCAACATCAGAAGCTCCACCAGCTGCTGAAGTGATTGTGGAACCTCAGCCGGCAGCTCAAGAAACGCCAATAGAAACAGGGATCGATCAAGACCTGCAAAGTGCACCTCCACAATACATTGATAATCCTCCGGCTGCAACATCAGAAGCTCCACCAGCTGATGAAGTGATTGCGGAACCTCAGCCGGCAGCTCAACAAACGCCAATAGAAACAAAGATTGATCCAGAGTTGCAGAGTGCTCCTGCACAATCCCTTGACAATCCTCCGGCTGCAACATCAGAAGCTCCACCAGCTGCTGAAGTGATTGCGGAACCTCAGCCGGCAGCTCAAGAAACGCCAATAGAAACAAAGATTGATCCAGAGTTGCAGAGTGCTCCTGCACAATCCCTTGACAATCCTCCGGCTGCAACATCAGAAGCTCCACCAGCTGCTGAAGTGATTGCGGAAGCTCAGCCGGCAGCTCAAGAAACGCCAATAGAAACAAAGATTGATCCAGAGTTGCAGAGTGCTCCTGCACAATCCATTGACAATCCTCCGGCTGCAACATCAGAAGCTCCACCAGCTGCTGAAGTGATTGCGGAACCTCAGCCGGCAGCTCAAGAAACACCAATAGAAACAAAGATTGATCCAGAGTTGCAGAGTGCTCCTGCACAATCCATTGACAATCCTCCGGCTGCAACATCAGAAGCTCCACCAGCTGCAACATCAGAAGCTCCACCAGCTGCTGAAGTGATTGTGGAACCTCAGCCGGCAGCTCAAGAAACGCCAATAGAAACAAAGATTGATCCAGAGTTGCAGAGTGCTCCTGCACAATCCATTGACAATCCTCCGGCTGCAACATCAGAAGCTCCACCAGCTGCTGAAGTGATTGTGGAACCTCAACCTGCAGCTCATGAAATGCCAATAGAAACAAAGATTGATCCAGAGTTGCAGAGTGCTCCTGCACAATCCCTTGACAATCCTCCGGCTGCAACATCAGAAGCTCCACCAGCTGCTGAAGCGATTGCGAAACCTCAGCCGGCAGCTCAAGAAACGCCAATAGAAACAAAGATTGATCCAGAGTTGCAGAGTGGTCCTGCACAATCCATTGACAATCCTCCGGCTGCAACATCAGAAGATCCACCAGCTGCTGAAGTGATTGCGGAATCTCAGCCTGCAGCTCAAGAAACGCCAATAGAAACAGGGATCGATCAGGACTTGCAGAGTGCACCTCCACAGTCCCTTGACAATCCACCAGCTGCTGAAGTGATTGCGGAACCTCAGCCTACAGCTCAAGAAACGCCAATAGAAACAGGGATCGATCAAGGCTTGCAAAGTGCACCTCCGCAATCCATTAATAATCCTCCGGCTGCAACATCAGAAAATCCACCAGCTGCTGAAGTGATTGTGGAACCTCAGCCGGCAGCTCAAGAAACGCCAATAGAAACAAAGATTGATCCAGAGTTGCAGAGTGCTCCTGCACAATCCCTTGACAATCCACCAGCTGCTGATGTGATTGTGGAACCTCATCCTGAAGCTCAAGATTCGCAGCCAGAGACATTGATCATTCTAGATACGCAAAAAGAATCTCAACAAGCTCCTGCAGTCCTTAATAATCCGGGAAGTACATCACCAGAAGCCGCACCAGCTACTGCTTCTATTCTAGAACGTCTACCTGCAGCTCCATATACAAAGCAAGAAGCAGATATGGTTCTGGAGATACAGAGCTTTCCTGAGGATTCCCTACAAGCTCAGGCTCATAGAATTCCTCTTGCAGCATTGGACGAACCCCAGATTGTTGAAATAAATCCAGAACGTGAAACAGCTGCAGTTAGTTTAGAGCCTGACAAAGAGGCAGAAATTATTCCTCAGCAAGAAGCTGACATATTCCCAAAGCATCAAACAACATTGTCCGAATCAGAAAAGTCGGCAGAATGTATTAATAACCACATTATACCAGCACTTAATCCAGAGACTGAATCAACGCTTGCTTTGGATTCCCAGCTTAAGCTGTCAGAAACTGTAAGAGAATCAACAGATGCCCAAAAGCCTCACAGTACATACGCAGAAAAGCAACAAACTGAAGAATTCGAGGCAGGAGCTATGACTAAAGATTTGAACAAAACTGTTGAAAATAATTCAGAACTTTATGTTTCATCGGTAAAAGTACAAGAAATGGTTGAAATTGGTACAGAAAATTTGGTTTTATCAGAAGAAAATGTAAAACCCACAGAGACAATTCTTGCATCAACTGAAAACACATCAGCTGATAATATTTCTACAACTGAAGATCAGAGCGATATTTCAGCTCTAGGTAAACCGTCTCAAAAAAGCCTGCGGAGACAATCGAATATTCCTGACACAACACCGAGCGATGGATTTCCAACTCAGAAGCCTTTAAACCTCTTAGGAACCATTTGCAAGTTTTACATTAAAGACAAACGACTGCTAGCAACTATCGAACGAAGACGTCGTCGTGCTTTGATTATGCATAAATACCTGAGTTCCTTTCATGATTCCTTCGACGAGCCAATAGATATAAGAGATGAACAATATGATCCCCATCCTAGTTTATTTGAAGAGTTAAATATTAATAGGCAAAGCTCTGATAGCCCACTGGCACCCCAAACCGATGTTGGAGACTTAACTCTACCGGTTTCAGAATCTCACCTAACTTTTCCTTTTATAGAAAGTAATAGTGCTCTACTAATTAAAAGCGACAATACCGCAATAGTTGAACCTACAAAGTCAGAATCTCATTTAAAAAATGACTCATTTAATGAATGCATTTCTCCTGACCCTGATATTCATTTAAGTTGCTCCTGCAAAGAAGATAATAGTTTCATACCAGAAAACAGTATCGTTTCCGAAAGCACACAAAATACTGCTAGCCAAACATTGTTGGATGTTTCAGAAGATATATACGTTGAGAATGATATTATGAATGTAGGAAGCTTAAGAGAAATAAGCTTTAATTTTATTAATTCAATTTTATTCTCAGATCAATTAAGTTCAGGGTCGAATAATACTGACGGGAGCTCACCAACCACCACTATTGAAACATTTAATGACGAATCCGATAACGAATTTGATAGCGACCTTTACGTTATTGTTGATGAGTCCAACTCTAGGGCTGCAGGAACTAACAACACTAATACAAACATCACTAGACTACACACTAAAAGACCTCGCACTAACGGCAAACTAACAAATGGTTCACTAAGATGGTCCAACTCTAACAAGTTAGGCGCATGTGCCCCATTAGAAGGCGATCCACATGTTGTCGACGACGATGTTGGTGATGATGATGTTCTGTTGCGGCGCTTTGTGCCAGGTAACAAAGGGCTATGGCCGTAGTCATCACTCGGTGTTTGTTGTCTTTTAATAAATGTTTTTGCTGCTGCCGCTGCTGTTGTATGCTTTTTTGCTTTAGACTGGCCAATTTATAAATGTTATTTAGATTTTAGCAACCCCAGATTACTTTAGTTTTTGTACTAAAATAAAAAATTGCTCAACTTGCAGGTTCGATTGCGGAACGCGAGGTCAAAAAGTGGTACAACGCTGTAGAAATGCCAAACAATCCATATGCGCCAGAGGCACTTAAGCAGCGCATAAATGGAAGCCAGGAACGATGCATGGATGTACCCAATATTAGTCCTAGTGCCGAAAAGACGGCCATTGAGTTGCTGACAAATGCTGATCCTGAAAACATTGCCACACATTGTGCCGAAACGGATTATAAACGGTACAGACTGAGCAGACATTAAACTATACCCCAGATTAATAACACAGTTCCTATATACATTTGCAGTTACAGCAGAGATTACTACATCAACAATGCCAACTGTTCGACATCGGCATCCACACCCAGGAAGGGTCAAGCCCAAGCCCAAGCATTGGATGAACCGCCCGATGACGACATTGTCATCAATGAGGTAAATCAAGCGCATGGCTGCATTTCAAGTACCACTAAAAGTAATGGTAACGTTGCTGACGTCTCTCATTGGACACTATCCACGCCAGTGCGACGAAGCAGCTCGTTAAAGTTCATTAACAAGCGTACTTCCCCCACATTAACGACATACGAACGTACAGCCACAATCGAGCGTCCGTCCACATCAGCCTCACACTATCGCGACACCAGCTTAGGCCTAGATGATGACGACTTTGACATTCGGTCGCAGCGTTCTTGGCGTAGTAGTATTGCCCAAGGAAGTGCCTCTTGCAGCACCCTTTCGAAACGGCGCACGTATTCCACACAGAGCTTGCATAGCATTGGAAGTGGGGTGTCCTTGGGCTCGTCCGCATCAAAGAAACGGCAGGGCCCAAGCGCTGGCATTTTGGCACAATTCGAGAAGCAACTGCTGCATAAAGATCTAAAGCGAAATAGTTTTCGAGCCGTGTCCGCCACCTCAAAAGATTTCGTTATGAATCCTTTGTTCGAGAGCGAGCAGTTTGGGCAAAAGCTAACGCTGAGGCCAGACACGGACGATCAGGTCGATTCAGGGGTCGATAGTTGTTTAAACGGGTTCAGTGGCTCAGATGCAAAATGCAGCAAGAACAGTCTTCTTTTTTAGTTCAATATGCACAGGATAAGTTGGAGGTTTTCTACACACGTTCTTCTATCTGCCAAAATATGAAATAATATATGCATAGTTTAGTCAAGTTTAGCCAAAACACTAGTCAGTAAAACAACGCGAAAACACAACCATTTTTTCTGCTCTCCGTACATATAGGGAAAGGGGGCAGGGCGGTGAATAAATGAAATGAAAAATTTTTAGAATCTCCAGGACATATGTGGCTTTAATCGAGCTGCGCCATCAGCGCGAGTTCTTAATGCAACCAACACTTGAACGCTTCAAATCCAAATCCAAATTCAACTTCAACTGCACCGACTTGCACCTCACCACACATTTTTGAGAGCGCTGACAGCTATCAGCGTTCGTTTTTTAATACAACAAATATACAAAAATACCTATATACTTAAACTTATATACATAGTAATTATCTAATGCTCTAAAGTATGCCGCGTTTGTATGTTCTAATTATGTATGATTTTGCTGTTGCTAATTTGTTTGAGTAGTAGATTTTTATTTTAATCAAGTTCAATCATTTTTGTATGCACTTTAGTTAAATGAATTAATTAGTTGCTAATTTTTTACATTTAAATTTATTATGCATTAATTGAAATAAAGCCAAATGTAAAACAAAACCATCAAAAGTAAACGAAACAAATGTTTTTAGTAAAATTTGTTGACTCCACGTATATGCTAAGAATTAAATGGGTGAGTACAAATCAATCAATCTATCTCTATCGCGGCAACAAATATAATATAAATTTACTAACAACATTTGTTTCACTTTCTGCAACCAACACTTAACTAACAGAAAACAACGTTTTTATTTATTGTTTTTAAAGTAACACATCATTTTGAGTGCCTGCATTTTTGCATGTTGCTGTCTAAGCTGTGTTCAAATAACAAGCAAATAATTTGCACACAAATTTATCGAATTTCAAAAGTATGCCATGAAGATAGCATTACTTCAATAACAATTTTGAACATTTTTTGGGAATACATTTTTCAAACCCCTTTGAAAATGAGACGAATTCGTGTACAACATATCTAACAGTATCTGAGGCCGATTTAAATAACGATTCTCATACACATTCACACATCACACTACACAATACGCTAACACCTAACAAGTCACTGAAATTAGTTTTAATATTTTAAGCAAAAACATCTTTTTCACATAAATGTTTGACACTCATACACACACAAAACAAAAACAAACAAACGCATACAAAAAAACCCCACAAAACTACCTAAAATATTTTTTTAAAAGGCTCTAAATGCAAACAAAACCACAACGGTTCAGGATACAATTCTTGATACAAGTACCACAGTTTTCAAAGCTGTGCCTGCCCAGGTATTGGAAGAAGGCGCATCTAGTATTGAAACCTCATCGAATCAGTCCTTACAATCCGTTCAGACTACAACCAGCGATGATTCCGATACGGTGCGCGTCTATGACTTCAATAAGCAGGAGACAACTGTAATTAAATCAGGAGAACAAAAGCCCAGTGAATTGAGCGAGGCCCCAAGCGGCTCCGCAACTTCTTCAATGGAGTCTGCACACGGCGCGTCTTCATCTGTAGACACACCAAAAAAACGGGAACGACCAATTGTACTGCAGTTTGGGCCCGCCGATTCGTCGCCGACATTAGGCTCGCCAATAACTACGCCAACTCGTGGCTCTACACCTCCAGCCTTTAGATTTCTACAGCCCAAACGCCGTCTCATTGAGCCTAGTCAAGTCTTGTCAATAGATGAAGACGATGTGGTAAGCGCCCAAGTGGAACCTCATGGTAATCCAGCAAAAATGTAATGCCCATATATTTTAAACAACAGCCGGAGCCATGTACGCCCGCTGAAAAGCCAGCAATCGAAAAAGATGTAGCTCATGCTATGCCTTCGGTCAAAGCCTTGGCTCAGGCGTTTCTCCTAACCAGCAAACACACGCAGCCGGAAAGGCGATGGCGAGCAAAGGTACTATAGCGCTAAAAATCGTATTTATTGATTGCTGCTTTTCACACAATCCGCAGGCCAAACAGGTAATGCTCACTCCATCGCCAGATACACCGACCAAGCCAGGTTCCGAACCACGAAGGAAACCTGTCTTGGAGCATGCCATTTCGATGGCCGAAGTTGCCGACGAGTCCACAATTGCGTCTGATTTATCATCATTGGAGACGTAAGTGCCATATGTGATGTTTTCAGAGAAATAGCCTTCTGACTTTTTTAATCATCACAGAGACCAATCAATGCAATCCGAGGGTCAAGCGAATCCATTACCTATTGCCTCGCCAGCGAGTCCAGTGCCCGTCCGTAGAGGCTTCCTTAGGAGCAATATTGCTTTCTTTGAGAACTTAAAGTTTAAGTGAATATGCTTCTGAGGCTCAGTGGGGTTACAACCATTGGTGGATATTCCTTTATTGCAACATGCACAATAATGGATCCCACACAACAAAGCGAACATTGATCATGGAAATTATTTCATATTTAACCATCATTTATGTGCCATGGCTTACATTAAAATATACTTTACTATTCAATTGGCCAACATCATTTTGAGCGCTCACCAAATTGTTATTATTAGTAGTTATTTTACTATTTATTAACCAATATCCATGGGTACTACTATTTACTAACTAATTTATTCTTAAGATATGTAACTTGTAAGAATGTAACTGTTTCAAATTTTAAACTTAATCAAATAAAACGCGCGTATTATCTATTGTATTATTCAGTTGAATAAAAAATTTAAAAGAAAGAACGATAATAAAATAAAACTCAAAATATGTCTTAAGCTTTCAAGTAATATACTAAATGTATATTTGTAGGTAATTATGTTTTCTTCCTACATCCAAAGTTTATGAGTTGGGTTAGGTTTTTATTTCATTTAAAAATCGATCACCTACAATTTAGGAGGTAATATTATACATGTTTAAAAACACAACACATTTAAGACTAATATATATATATACATATGTTTATGATTTAGATGAATAAAACATCGTGCATTGTTAAATCATAAAATCCTTAGTCGATTTGGCAAATAGTCGAGTACACTACATTTGTATTTGTAGTGGTATATTCAACGTTATACGTACATATCAACTTATGTCTTATGTAGTTAAAATTTCTCTAAAATTTAAATATATCTTTTATAAAAATAAATTCTATAGTACGTTGCCATTTGCAATGACACACGTTTGAGCGACAAAAAAAAACAAGATTGAGAGTTAGTTCTATTTGATTTCACCGTGATGTGCATTTGGAATGATGATCACTTTGTGTTCAGAGCAGAAGATAATCAATCTACTTAGATGTGTGATTGTGATGTGGATGCTCTGCCAAATAGATAACAGTAACCAAAGGTATGACAACACACAGAGCAAGTATAAATATTAGCAAACATATCCAAGACATGTCACAGTCGGAGCCAGACCAGTCAATGGCACGCAAAGATGGACCCGGTATGGGTCGCAATAATGGGGCATGTCTATCCAACAGCATTTCACTTTCGTCCAGGGGTCGTTCCATATTAGCTGAAGAATATAAAACAAAATTAATTATACATCTAGCAGCGAATGCAATGTTTTCAACAAAAGAATGTTCATCAATATATATTTTTATCATTTTATTTTATTATAATTAATTTCCAGATGCGTTAGCGGACACAGAGAATATTCAACTTAATTGTAGGTCATATAGCGGGGTGTGGCGCTGAACTTAGCGTAGCTCTTGATAACCTTGTTAACTGCCTCAAGGAAGTCCTTTTCAGTCGCCACTTTGCGACGTGCACGAATAGCAAACATGCCAGCCTCCGTGCACACCGAACGAATTTCGGCACCTGTTGAATTCGGGCACAACCGCGCCAGCAGATCAAAACGAATGTCCCGCTCAACAGACATAGATCTAGCGTGAATCTTAAAGATATGTGAGCGTCCATCTTGATCGGGCAATCCAAATTCCACTTTACGATCTAGACGGCCGGGACGCATGAGAGCCGGATCCAATGTATCAGGTCTGTTGGTAGCCATGAGCACTTTTATGTTGCCTCGCGGATCAAAACCGTCAAGCTGATTAATGAGCTCCAACATTGTGCGCTGTACCTCGTTGTCACCGCCGGCGCCGTCATCAAAACGGGCCCCGCCAATTGCGTCGATTTCATCGAAGAAAATAAGACAAGCTTTTTTGGAACGCGCCATCTCAAAGAGTTCACGCACCATGCGCGCGCCTTCACCGACATACTTCTGTACCAGCTCCGAGCCAATAACACGGATGAAGCACGCATCAGTACGATTGGCCACAGCACGGGCACACAATGTCTTCCCAGTGCCGGGCGGGCCAAACAGCAGCACACCCTTGGGAGGTTCAATGCCCAAATTTACGAATTTCTCAGGATGCAGCAACGGTGTTTCCACAACCTCGCGCAGCTTTTCTATCTGTTCTTTGCAGCCACCTACATCGCTATAAGTTACATCTGGCTTATCCTCCACCTGCATCATCGTCACTGTTGGGTCTATCTTTGGTGGCAATGGTATGTGTATCTGGTATTTGTTGCGATCAACGCCAACACGCATGCCCTCCTCGATGTCAGTTGGAGCCACAGAATCGGCCAAATCTACCACAAACTTGGCAAACTGCTTCACATTGATAATGTACTTGGGATCATCCGAATCGGCATTGATAATTTTCGTGCAACGGGCCACTTGCAATGGCTGTTCATTTTGCAAAATCTGCTTGTCGGCAGCCAAGTCCCAGAGCGCTGGTGGGGCCAGGCCTGTGTCGCTCTCCTTGATTCCAGTCAACTCATTCACCTGCTTCACGGCCTTTTGTATATCTTCTTCAATATTTTTGATCGACTTGTGGTACTGGCTCTGGCCGTACGTTTTTAGAAGCTCGATATCGCCTTCATCGAGTGACTTGATTTCTTTTTCCTCTTTTTCTTCGTGCTTCACTTTGCGCTGATCATCACCCAGGTAATCCGGCATGTTGCTTTCACAAGTTTACAACAAATTAGCAGCGAAAGATGTATAAAATGTTATTTTTCTCCCTTTTTTGTTTCAGAATGACTAAACAATTTGGAGTGAATTAGTGCTGTCAATGCAAGCACCTCTACCGCTTCTTCTTCTTCTCTGTATTGCCGTCGCAGCATTCACAATAGACCCACACAGGGCGAGCCAAAAATAGTACTGATGTTTAATTGGTAGCACTGTCAACGGTTGTCTTTTGAGAATCAGAGCCTACCTAACTTCCGCCACCCTATTAATATTTTCATGTTTGTATATATGTATGTAGCGAGCCGCTGGTTTACGGAACCACTATGATAAATGCGTTTAAATTTATGTCTCACCTGCATCGTCTGGAAAGCCCATTCCACCAACTCTTTCATAGAAATCGTTACTACGATTAGCAGCAGCTTTGCTAGTTGAAGGCTGTTCGCCACCCGAAGCATTTACTGCGGCAACTAACAGTCTCTCATCTAGCATCAAACGAGCATCCTCCAGAGGATTTCGCTCAATGCCTAGCTCTCGATCCGCATTGTGTCGGGGACTATTATTACCACTTCTATGAACAGCTGGTAAAGCATCCGTGCCATTGCCAAGGAGTACATTATGAACCGTTACGGGGATTCTTATAATCCGATGTGCATGTATCTCGTTCTCTCTATCGATCTTGTTCAGACGCTTAATATCTCCAACGCTACAGTGGAATCGTAAGGCCAATGCTTGCAGGGTATCGCCCTCTTGCACCTTCACCTCCAGCGTATTTTCAAATCGAGCTAGCTTGGCATGGCCATTGCTAGCTCTAGTCCTCATATGCATCAATTCAGCAAAATCATCATCATCGTAGGCGGGGCGCGCAAATATATCCTCTACTTCGAACGGTTCGTTTTGATCCCAGTTAACATGTTGAGGACGCCTGTAATATGTAAAGTGTCATTGGCATTCGAACAATAGTCGAGTTGGCTCACATACACGTTCCGTCTCATTTTACTTTTCGTTGATCTTACTGGTGTTGCTTGGCTTGGGCCTTGAATTTTGTTGAGTCTGCCAATACGTGCTTCCCAAGCCGTTTGTGGTGCGATATGTTCACACTTTCAAACGGAAACAAAAGCTGTGCAGCATTCAGATGATACCTATTCAATTAGCGTAATTATTTACGTGTAAGAAATTCTCAATACAAATAACAAACACCTGCACAAAAGCTCAGTCATCTGAAGACCAAGCAGACAACCATTTCGCTCTAGAAACACCCTGTGCAGTCGGTAAACAGCTGTCTTCCAGTGTGACCCATTCGTTACCTTATTGTTTAACGTAACGTAAAGCATCCTACGTTCATTTTGGCCTAGTCAATCTTTTAGCTCTACATGTCAAGAAACTAAACAATAGTCATTTCATGCAAAATTGGTGATTTTCCGTAATAGTATGCTTATACATCGCGCGCTATGTCGAGGCTGGTCAACTCAGGTGGCGTAAGTAAGCGCACAAAACAGCCGGTAGCGGCAAATGAAAAATATTACAGTTAGGCCATCAACGTATGTAGTTACAGACTTCATCCGACTGCCCCGCCAACGGCGTTACCACTCCACCCATGTCGACAGAACCTGCTACCAAGAAGACATTGGCAGCCACCAGCGCGGCAAATCCATGGGCACCGACAGCGCAGCAGCAACATGAAACCCACAATAGCTGAGCCCGTACCAGAGAGCGGCGCGGTTCCCAGTGTCAATGTGATCAAAGCAGTCGCATTTACAGGAGCAGTAAGTGAATATGTTCCAGATCATAGACTTCTTAGTAATATCTGCGTTGTTCAGTTCAGTTTCGGTTGCTTCGCTGGTGCTACAATTATGGAGTACGAAAACACACGAAGTATGATCCTGGCGAAAGCGAAACAAGCTCGCTTTGGTTGGTGGCAAAGCCGCTCGCTAGTTGATCGCGACACTTGGTCGCAATTGAAACATGACATAAAGCGCCATTGGGACACGCTCACACCTGGCGACAAAATGTTTGCACCAATATTTGTGTTCAACGTCTTGGCATTTGCACTATGGCGAGTGCCTGCCCTGAGGACCACCATGATGACATATTTTACCTCTAATCCAGCAGCGCGTAAGTAAACGAAAGGTAAATGGTTTTTGCTATTTTATTAATGTATGTATGTATACCTCTATGTCTTCGTATAGGAGTCGTCTGTTGGCCCATGTTCCTTTCTACTTTTAGTCACTACTCTGCGATGCACATATTTGCTAATATGTATGTCCTGCACAGCTTTTGCAATGCTGCTGTTTTGTCCATGGGTAAGGAACAGTTTCTGGCAGTGTATTTAAGTGCTGGTGTAATATCAAGCTTAATGAGCGTACTGTATAAGGCGGGAACCAGGCAAGCGGGCATGTCCCTAGGAGCGGTCTGTATATCTTTTTATAAATTGTGCCATTGTCAAACTAATTGTTGATTATTAGTCAGGTGCAATCATGGCAGTGTTGGCCTACGTGTGTGCACAGTATCCCGATACACAGCTGAGTATATTGTTCGTACCTGGCCTAACATTTTCCGCAGGTGCAGCAATAAAAGTAATAATGGGCATTGACTTTGCCGGCTGCGTGCTGGGATGGAAGTTCTTTGACCATGCTGCGCACTTAGGAGGTGCGCTATTTGGCATGTAAGACAATTTAATTATGTTTATCTTTGATGTCAGTAAAAACTAACTATTTAATTACAACAGCTTTTGGGCAAACTATGGAGCACAAGTATGGGCAAAACGTATCAGTTTGCTGAACTATTATCATGAGCTGCGCAGGACGAAACAGAAATGAGTAAAGCGCGCATGAAATTACATCGAAAAAATTAAGTGAAAAAATTTGTGAAAATTACCGGTTTTGTAAAATGAAACGCTATGCTGCATTAAAAAACGATACCATTCAGCTTCAGCGATTTTTTGTCATGTTTGTAGTAAAGAAAATAAAATATCACATTCGTATGTTTGGCGATGTTAAGCATATCAGACTGTTGTCATGACTGATAAGTTGTATCAGTCCGATTACGTTTGTTGTATTGAATACGAAAGGCAACTTCCTTTCGACGTTGTTGTATCTTCTGACACAAATCAAAAGTCGTTTCGTTTTCGGGCGCATAAGAGATATGCAGAATGCCACCGTAAAATTCGGTGGCATCTAGCTTACGTTTAGCACGTCGTGCGTTTTCTAACTTGTAGAATATCACTTTATAGACATCAGTAAAAGCTTCCAGTTCCACTGTTACAAAGAAAAAGGGTCATTGTTACATACAGCATTTGACCAGGTTTACATCAAACACACTTATAGCAGCCATTTCCGATGTTACGCAGGTGATGGATTGCAGTTTCCCAAATAATTGCAATTTGTTTTTGATGTTTGCTTGCAGATTTATTCTGGGAACGCCAAAAACCAATAAATATCGCGACTCGCTGGCTACTGTATAGACCTGGAAGCGAGGGCGCTATAAGATTATTTTAAATTAATAAGCCCGTTAGAAACATTACCTTAACGGCTTTAAGGTCTCGTCCCTGACGGTACTGAAGTCGCGTTCTGCAATATTCGAGGCGCTTGTGATGCTCCATATAATTAATTATATGGAAGGTGTATGTTTATAAATCCGCAACTATCAGCTGCTTTTCAGATGTTATACAAAAAGTATCGCTGTATTATGGTTTCGATATGCTGCCTTTTCGAGTATTTTATCGATATGTAGCGATACTTGTATAACCTTTAAGTTTGGCGGGAAATGTAACCACATATAAAAGAGTGAGCGCGTCGGGGTCGCATTGATTCATCTAAGTGCATTTGCTGTAGTCAGTTCTATACAAAAACTAACATGTCTCTAGTTGCCGGAAAAGAAAACATAGCTGAGAACATGGAAAAATTCTCGCTTAAGGTAGAGCATCACGTATTTTAATGAACGAACCGAGACGTAGTCGTAAACATATGGTTCAATGGAAATTTCCGCACATATGTATACAGCCTTAAGTAATGTAAACATTTTTACCGCATACAGAGTCCGAGCAAGAAAATCTTGACAGAGAACGCAAATAACGTTCGGAAAATGTCCATTCCAAATGAAGACAATGCAGCTCCAGTGCTTGCTGCTAAGGAAGATGACGACCCAATCAAGGCAATAACAAAAGTGGTGAATGTGTCTAGTGCACCTTTCGACCCATCGCTTGAGCCATTGCTCCGAGAGAACCCTCGCCGCTTTGTCATCTTTCCCATACAATACCATGATATCTGGCAAATGTACAAAAAGGTGCGTAAGTAAACAGTGTGTGTCTAGTGGGGTGGGCGGTTTGAGCGGGAAATTACTGATAAAGCGCGCCAAAATGTACCTGTGTATGTATGTGTGTATGCACGTATTTTATAAAACGAGACCAAAGCGATGTGTCGGCACCTAAATGCATACGTGATACATACAAACAATAAAAATGTTGTGAAATACTTTTTCCATGCAAACTTTGGTTAAAAAAAAAAAAAAACGAATTAATAATTACATTCACCGATTACAGGCCGAAGCATCTTTCTGGACGGTCGAAGAGGTGGATCTGTCCAAGGACATGACAGATTGGAATCGCCTGACTGACAATGAGCGTCACTTTATATCTCATGTGTTGGCATTCTTCGCCGCATCAGATGGCATTGTCAACGAAAATCTGGTAGAACGCTTTAGCCAGGAGGTGCAGATAACCGAGGCACGTTGTTTTTATGGCTTCCAAATTGCCATGGAGAACGTGCATTCGGAAATGTACAGCGTACTTATCGACACCTATATACGTGATCCTCATCAACGCGACTATCTTTTCAATGCGATTGAGACTATGCCAGCAGTAAAGCGCAAGGCGGACTGGGCCCTCGCTTGGATTTCTTCAAAGTCAGCCAATTTTGGTGAACGCATTATAGCTTTTGCCGCCGTCGAAGGCATCTTCTTTAGTGGCAGCTTCGCTTCAATCTTTTGGTTGAAGAAGCGCGGTCTTATGCCCGGTCTTACCTTCTCAAATGAGTTAATTTCACGCGACGAGGGTCTACATTGCGATTTTGCCGTGCTGATGTTCCAGCATCTGGTTCAACGTCCCAGTCGTGAACGCATTATTGAAATCATTTCAGATGCTGTAGTCATCGAACAGGAGTTCCTCACAGACGCTTTGCCCGTAAACTTAATTGGCATGAATTGCAAACTGATGTCTGAATACATTGAATTTGTCGCCGATCGTCTGCTGGTAGAGCTCGGTGTGGGCAAGGTACGTTCGTCTCATTCGGAATACGAATTTTATTTGAATATTTCTTAAAATTTTCGCTTTCTATAGATCTATAATACAAAGAACCCATTCACTTTCATGGAGCTCATTTCGCTGGACGGAAAGACAAATTTCTTTGAAAAAAAAGTGGGCGAGTATCAACGCATGGGCGTTACATCGAATCGTTTGGACAATGTTTTTACGCTTGATGCGGATTTCTAACCAAGGGCTTTTAAGATTAACATCCCTAATTCAATATTTATAAACGTTTTATATTTTAAACAATTTAAATACAATTTAGTATGTAAGTTAAAAATTGACATCATCCTTGAAATGTAAGCAAAAAAAAAAAAATGCATTCTCTTGACTTCCACAAAAAGTTCTGTTTATTGATAGCGATATCTTATTTTACATTACGAATTCATTGTAAATAACATTAAAGAAATGTCTAGCATACATATGCACTGTTAACATTTTAGGAGGTTTCTATCGTGGTATCGGTGAGTAATAGAATCCTACGACTTAAATTGCAAAATTTATTCCCATTTACATACCCTGGTCGCAAAGGGTAAAAGTGTGCTAGCTTACTGCAAATGTATTTATCTATATATATATATAAAACAAATTGTCCTGACTGACTGATTGGTGATCAACGCACAGCCCAAACGGTAAAGGCTAGGAAGCTGACATTTGGACTCAAGTATCATAGTCTAGGTCCCCACTAAGAAGGGATTTTGGAAAATTCGAGCTCCAAAGGGGGAAAACAGGCTCCGTTTGTATGAAAAATTACAGTTTTCATCTGATTAACTTTAAACTTAGTTTGTATACTCTCAGAACAATTCCAAGAAAAACTGTATACTTGGTTTTTTAATTATTTTTTTTTGGGCCTAAAATATGGGATGCTGAAATTTGGGCTCAAGTATCCTATCATGGTGTAGATGCGCACTAAGAAGGGATTTTGGAAAATTCGAGCTCAAAGTTTGTTTGAAAAATCCGCATTTTTTAGACGGGACAGTCCCGCATTGACAGGTGTTGTCCCGCATTGAAAAATCGAATAAAATAGTCCCGAAAAACCTAAAACGCGTCTCGCATGTCCCGCATTATCAACATGACATTTAAAATACATAATATAATAGAGGAAGAGATAGAAAACCATTGTTCTTGTCTACTGCATCTCCTCCTCCTGCTCTCCTGTTTGACAAAACAGCGGTGAATTGAGGTGCTTAATAATCTAAGAGAAAAAGAAATACCAATGCAAAATTGCCTATCTATCATCCAGTACCTTCTCTATTTTTATTTTCATTGATAATTGCTTTGTGGACTAACGTCACTAAAAGTGGACACATTTCTTTTAATACAGTGAAATACCCTGTACCCAGACTAACTTCCGGCAATGAGCTTATGCGTCCCTAGCAGAAGAAAACTTGATGCTGCAATTTGCCGATGTAGTACTGGAGTAAAATTGTTTCGGTAACTTAGAATTGACCGATTTTCATAAAAATTGAAAAAAAAAACAAATATTTATGTATATATAAATTATCTTTGCAAATATGGTTTATGTTGCTTATTTGGTTAATGTGCGCTCAACCGTTTTCAGACGGACGGACATACTTTGATCGATTTCTCTCGTCGTGCTGATTAAGAATATATGTATACACCATATGGGGTCGGAGATGCTTCCTTTGCGCAAACCTAATATGTATGTATGTATATACTTTTTACCTTACGGGTACAAGGTAAAAAAATCCAGTACTGGTCAAAAAGTTTCAATCGTGTGAAAAATATGATTTTAAAAATAAAAAAACATAAACAAATTGAATAATTATTTTAAGTGTTTAATATTTACATACAAACATATGTAACTGTACATATGACACATCGAAAAAAACACCACCTTAAATTGTCCCGCATTGGCTTTTGAAAAAGTTGGCCGCCTTAATCTACATGTGTATGTTTGTACAAGAGCAAGAAATGTTAATTAATTGAAAATTATATAACATTTTTAAAAGTAATTTTGTCTTTGTTTAGTGCATTTGGCATTAGGGTTTTCATTAATAGCTTTATGCAGCAACAACAAATATCAAATAGTTGGACCTCACATACACACACTCACACACACAACAAGCAACAGTTCGTGTCTATGTGTGCGGTTCTCTACGTGCGGTTAAAAAAGTAAAAAGAAACATACATACATGTGTATGCCTGTGTATGAATATAGCATGTATGTACATTCGTATTAATGTATACATTGGGCAATCGAACACAGTTGTTTGATTGTAAAAAAAAATAATGCTCTAAAAACAACAACAACTGCAAGTCTTTGGCTCGCTCTTCTTTCGTTTTGACCATTTAATGTTAATCGCAAAGGCAAAACGCCAAATGTTTACAGTTTCCGTCGCTAGACAACGACTGCGTAAGCGATAGTAAAGCAGAAACCGAATAACGGAGCTACGCATATTCTGCTTCGTATTGCGGGCAGATGTATGTATGTATATGATTTGTTCTTATTGATCTCAATAATAATTAGATTTTATTATTTAAATATTCTGCTTATTCCATTCAAACTTCGATATTTTGATGCTATCGGTGGCTTCAACTATCGAAAGTTTTACTCTAGCAAATTGAGATGAGAATTGTCAGTGCTTTTTGATCGTGGCTCATCGCTGCACGGCATTGGCACATGTGCCGTATTTCATATTCCGAGTTTGTGCGTGACCGTATTGACTCAATATGGCACGAAAAGACTCAAATGTGAATTTAAAATTAGGATATACCCTTATAATTATTCCCCTTTTTTTGCATATAGTCTATCTTAAAACGTTGCGGTTTCTCTATATATAAAACAGTTTGTCCTGACTAATTGGTGAGCAACGCACAGCCCAAACGGTAAAAGATGAAATTTGGACTCAAGTATCCTTTCATAATATACATCATAGTGTAGGAGCACACTAAGAAAGGCTTTTGGAAAATTCTAGCTCCAAAAGGGGGAAAACGAGCTTTAAAAAATATTAGTTATAGTGGTCATGTTCATTTAAATACCTTAAATGCCTTCCTACTGGTAACTTAAAGGGTGAAATCATATGGGTTGGTTATGCACACACAAAATAAATACAATTGGAAACATTATATTGAGCCGGGTTAAGACGGGCAATACCTGCTAGTGTATACAGCTCTGTAGTCGATACAGCTCTTTCTGCCACTCCCCCGAAATTTCAGAATGTGTTTACTTAATTTTACAATTAAATCCGGTCAGTGTTAATGTGTCCTTTTTTTTATACTTGGACCAACCCGCCTCAAACATTCCATGCATGTTTTTTATGTTTGCAATATTTTACAACTAATATCGATAAAGTGAAAATTAAAAAAAATGAATTTTCAGGGGATTTGGTGCAAATTGCATCTACGGAGTTTATGGTTCGATAACTTTTCGCACCAACTGTGCATCACAAACTGTCAGCTGATAACCAACGCTACCTACCAGTGGTGTATGCGGGTTATTAGCCATTTTGATCAAAATGAAAAGTATAGTTTGTCCATACATACATATATACATTAATGTAAAGATAAGAATTAATACATGAGCACGTATGCTTGGATAAGCGCTATCGGGCCCATGTGTCAGCCTATTGATTCCAATTAATAGATATTTTAATGATTGCGAAAATATTAGTCGGCGGCGGTAATGCATTGCAGCACTGCATTGTGATGTAATGGCAAAAGGAAGGGCAATTGCACGCATATACATATGTTTGGAGAGAAAAAGATTCAAGTAACGAAAATAAAAAATTATATGTATGAGTGATGTGCGAGTATACACTCAACAATCAACTGAACGCGATTAGAGGCAGTCGAGCCGCAGAAACCAACGGACTTGCAATTCCACAAAAACCAAGAGAATGGCAAGAGCAAAGAGACCGCTTGCCGCAAAGAATACAGAGGAGCAACGTTCGCTGCTGACAGATATAAACTTAGGCGATCTGGACGAAGAAGTAAAGTTGTCAGGAAAGGCAGCCACTGTAAGTTTATTTATATACATTTTCAAAATAGAAATTTACAATGTCCTTCCAAGAGAGTTCTGGAGGCCCTTATCTACTTGTACAATATGTATGTGAGATATGGTGACATGAAATTATTTATGTACAGCATACATATGTATGTATTTATGTATGTATATTGAAATTTCAGGCAAAAATACTAACCCGTGGCACGTATAGTATAAGTGTTCGGAATCGGCGAAAATATTGGTACTGGCAGCGGGGCGCTCTGCGCCGATTCCTCTTCTGCGTTCCAGTGGTATTCTTACTGGTTTTGGTGGTATTCTACCTACCCATCTATACGGATGTGCAAAATCGACGCTGTAAGTAATTATGCCACAATAATGTTATATATATTTAATGCCCATGGTTTTTACAGCTGCATTACCAGATTGGACGTATAATACGTCGCGCGACATTAAGGATTATGTACTTCCATTGGAACAAACAGCATTGATTGTGCCACGTGATTTCTGCCGCGCTAAGACCTTCGTAATTATAGCTGTGTGTTCAGGATTACAAAATTTTGTGCAACGCCAAACAATACGTGAAACTTGGGGAAACACTACGGAGTTTAATTATTCAAAGTTTTCCAAATTACATGGTCACTTGAAAGGACACTACTTGGAAAGGATTCCAGCCCGTTTGAAACTTTATGAAGACCACCTCAAAAGTGCGCCAGTACGTGTGATATTCATTGTTGGCCGCAGCAAATACGAATCATTATTGGGCAACGAAACGCTTGAGCGTCTACACAACGAAGCAGAGCATTACAATGACATCATCCAGGAAAATTTCATTGATAGCTATAACAACCTCACCCTGAAGTCGGTGCTGGCACTAAAGCATATGAGTAAAGACTGTTCCAACAGCAGCGCCTTCTTTCTGAAGTGCGACGACGACACTTTCGTAAATGTGCCGAATTTACTGCACTTCCTGTTAGGTGGGACTTTGCCGCTCTACAACGACACGCTCGAATACTACGATGTGTTGACAGCGATGGTAATGTCGCCGGAAAACCGCCTGAATGCCACGAAAGGAATTATGCGGGGCCATCAATTTTGTTCAGCCCGACCTGTGAGTAATGTGACAAACAAATGGTACATGCCATATTATATGTACCCCAAAGAGGCCTACCCGAAATATCTATCTGGCGCCGGGTATCTGATGTCTATGGATGTGGCGCAAGGGCTGTATAAGGCAGCATTGAATACGACACTGATCTACTTGGAGGATATTTACATTACTGCATTGTGTGCAGAAAAGGCGCGGGTGAAGCGCCAACACCATCCACTTTTTAGCTACACATATCCTCGGCACTTGTGCGCCTTTAAAGGTGCCATAACACAACACGAGGTCAAGGATGACAGCATGATGGAAGCGTGGCAGTTCGTTTCGAACTACAGCATTAAATGTGATCCGCCCGGCCGATACTTTAAGCAGATGCGTTTGCGTAAGCACATAAATTGTTAGAACTGAAGCTATAAGCACACCAGTATAAGGCCGTACCAGTAACTATGATTGGATTGCTTCCTTCTACCAGAATAGCTGGCGATTCTTAAAGACATATTTATATATATATTAGTTGTAAACTATTTACAAAATAGATGCCAATGCTGCGTAATCGCAGATAAATTTATTAGCTGATAGCCAAATTCTAGTGAAACGATTCTTTCGCTCATAACATGACTTACTATATGAAATTTTTCTTTTTAAGACTCATTTTTACAAGTTTTGTTTATAATGCGTTTAGCGGTGAAAGACATTATTCTGCACCTTTTTGCACACATGAATATTTATTATAAGGTTAAAATACATTTACGCACATTCTTTTTGCCTTGTCATACGTACTTATTTAAACTATTGTTATTCTAAGCAAGAATTTTTTGCCAAACGCTCCAGGAGATAAAGGTTACCTTAGCGATTTGGATTTCGAACAATTTTTAGTTCACAAATTACTTCATATCGACATATGATATATTGTAGAAAATTGACCGATAAATTAAAAAAACCGGAACATGTTTGGAAATAAATGCATAAGAAAAATATAACTTCTTTATGTTGAAATTAAGACTTCAGCATATGCATACTTAACAATACTTCCAATTGTGTAAATTCATCTAATTTTCTTATGCTCTTTATCGTTGGGTTGTATTGATTTTATGTTGAAAATATAAATAATACTACGGTCCAGTAACGAAATATCCTGTACCTAAGCAAAACTTCTCCGCTGTGTTATATGCTGCATATCAGAAGCAGAAATAAGAAGGAACTTGATACTGCAGTTTGTGGGCGTATTACTGAAAAACAATTGTCTCGTTAACTTTTCTAAATGACCGATTAGTATGCATTTTAAAACAATAGTAAAACGACATTACATGTTCATTACGCGAAGTAAGGTTTATGTAGCGGGAGAAGGAAAAAAACCGTATTGCCTGGATATTAGGATTATTAACGGCTTTCCCAAACATCTAAACAGACGGACATGACTTTATCGATTCTTCTCGCCATGCTGAATATATAGATACATTATGGGTTCGGAGAAGCTTCCTTCTACGTGAAACATATTTTGCACAAGCGTACAGGGTATAAAAAGACTCTTTTTGTGTTATTTATTATTAAACTTTAATGCACAACTTAAACATACATACCTGTTCAAATTATCATTAAGTTACTTATGCATATCTTACATACTTATTTGTAGTTACTATTATTAATTTCGTTTATTACATAAAATCCTATAGCTACCTATGAGTTACGTTTTTCTTATGTACATAAAAAGCGTATTACTTTATTTTATTACTATAGTAATTTTACATCCGATATCGAATTTTGTGGTGTTTTGAAAACAACAATTCATGACATTTACTTACAGTTAGTAAGTTAAACTCTTTTATCGCGATAGCAAAACAAACTTTTTTTTATGATATAATTTGTCCGAATAACTTAAAACTGTTGTCGAAAAAATAGAAAAACTCAAACAAACAAATGAGCGTTATTTCTTATAATGCTGGAAGTTCAATTGGTTTCCTCTGGAACTTCAATTCAATTTTATATACGTACATATGAATATTCGAGGCCTTGTGTAAATGAGGTTATCGACAATTTGTTGGCGATGTACTTATGTGCTTTTCTTGACCAAGGCAAGGGAGCACATGTCTAAATACATACATTTTATGTAAATGACGTTCTTATATACTATTAAATACATCGGTAATAGTCGGAAGGGTCTAACATGATCATCACAAACTAGCCAAACAGAGTCGTAGTAGACGACTCACCCGAATTAGGAAGTGTCTCATTGCTGTCGTTGCGTGTGATTTGTTGCTGGTCTGCTTCAAGACCTGTTTCTTCGCAAGATTGTGATTGATCCGGGCAACTAGACAAATCTGAACCGGTTTTCTTTTCAAGCTCATGTGTTACCTGCACCTCGGCTGGGTCTGTTTCCTCTGCAGTTATTCCAGAATCAGAGGTGGGGTCGGCTGAAATTTTAAGTGTCAAATTATCCTTCTCACTTTGTAGCTCTGACATTTCAATGGTATTAGATCCGACACCTTCATTGGATTCGAATAGTTCGGCTAGCTGCTGAATATCAGTTTCAAAATTTTGCGCGATATCTATTTGCTCTACTATTTCCGATATATACTCATCAGCAGGTTTCTCCAGTACTGTACATAGAGCTTCTTCTATGGCAGTGTCTGTGGGGTTTAAAGAACTTCCTATGGCCTCAGTTGATGGGTCTAGCAATTCTTGCTCAGCAGTTTCTGTAGAGTCTAGACATTGCTCTCGAGAGATTTGCAGTTCTTCCACGGCTTTAACTGTAGGGTCCAGAGATTGTTTTTCTGCAGAATCTGTAGAGTCCAACAATTGGTTTTCAACACAATCTTTAGTTCTTTCTGAGTTTTCAACGGCAGCGTTTAAAGGGTGTAGTAGTTGTTCCGCAGCAGTCTCTGGAGATTGTTTTTCAGGAATATTTTCAGGGACCTCTGCTTGCTTTAAGGACTCTACAGTGTGGGTAAATTCTTGCGGATGTTCAACAACTATATCTATACTAGCAGGAGTTTGTTTATCATGGGCACCTGTAGAATCTCGACGCTGTTCTTTAGCAGTTTCTGTGGAGTCTATAGTTTTGTTTACAGCGGCCTCTGTAGACTCTTGTAGACTTTCTTCTACGGAAGTGTTCAGCTTTTTACCAACGCCTGTAGACACATCAATTTTATTCACTCCCATTTTCGTACTTCCTGATAAATTATTATCAGTAGGTTGTCCTATATTCGTGTCTGCAGCGGTGTCTAAGGGAGGCTTATCGTTTCCGTCAACTTCCATTTTTTCTCCAATGCCAGTTGAATTTCTTCCAGATTGATTTTCTTCTCCAGTCTTAGTAGTAGATGTTTCGTTAGTTGTTTTCACTCGTACTCGAACATTATCATTTTTGGCGCTGTGCCCGCTATTATCATTATTTATAGAAATATTCTCAGTTGATTTCGAAAGTGCTTCATCAGCATCAGTCTTATTAGTCTTATAACTAGTACCGCGACTATGATCAGTTACTTCGTAAGCACCTGTAGGTTCTCTAGGGGTCTTTGCAGCAGACATTTGTTCAGCCCATTTTCGTGCTATTGGGTGATATTCTTCGACGCGCTTTAATTTAACAACCACTTTCATTTTCAGTTTTCTATCAGTGCGTTTTGTTTCCTCCATACGCTCACGCTCCAATTGAAGAAGGGCTGGATTTCTCTTGTTTGTTGTTTTCTTGCGTGGTTGTTTTTTCTGCACTGTGCCGCCAGGAGATGCTAATGGTCTTTTCTTGACGTTCCCGTTACCTTCCGTAATGTCAACTTCCAGCATGCTAGCCAAAATTGATGTGGTAAAGCTAGAAACATCGATGAGAAATTCTTCAGGGCCACCTGCATCGGTTGATTCGGGTGCGGTTGATGTCACAGATGTTATTTTTAAATCGCTGGCATTGGAAGTGGATGTTGACGGCGCTTCTTCTTCATTATCCGAATCTATAGTAATTGTGTCTGTTTTTGGCTCTACAATTTCTATTTCGTTGTCTTCGTCATCACTGGCTTGCTTTTCTGCAAAGATAAATTTAAATACGTGTAATAAACAATACATTGAAATTTATGTTAATATGTGAAAAATAAAATGCATAATAAACTCCAAGAATGTAATTTAAAATTTGGGTATAGCCTTTCTTCTTTAATAGTGTCTAAGTATGCGAAGTCTTAATATAAGTTATGCTAAAAAAATGTAATATATTAAGTATATATTTCATGTGATGTCTGTGAGATTTCATCGTTGGATTTTTTGTTGCTTTTAGTTATTGAGAAAACGCATTTCCTCTAAGGGAAAATTCTTCAGAAGTTTTTGCAAAGTATGCTCATTTGGAGTCGGTTGACGTTCCAGTTCGCGGCAATAACATTCGTAGGCAAACTTGGCCATCTGCCAGCGCATCTTACAGGCTCGCGCATCGCGTTTAAAACGTGGCAGCCGTCTAGCAACCTCGGGCCACAGCCTTTCGCGAGCGCCTACATCATTGTAGTCGACATGTCGTTGATTCCAGAGTGTCGGATAGGCACGCAATGCCAGGACTAGTTGCTTCACAAACTGCTTATCGTCGGGCATATCTTTTAGCTTAGCACTATGCGCAGGCGAGGTTTCGCCATTTTGTACACAATCCAGCAAAGGCTCACACTCATCCCGCAAGTCCTGCTCATCGATTTTGTAGAGAAAATACAATTTTGCAAGGTATCTGGAGTATTTTAACTCGAGGTTGGCGAAAAGGTTTTTGTCCTTGATGGTTTTCAATCGGAACGATTTGTACATTTCGTACATTTGTTGCCAGCGTTCGATGATGTACTCGCAGCGATAATCTGTAAGTGAAAAAAAGTTGTCCGATTAACGGCACACAGTAGCTATTAATATTTCCACACACTCACTTGGTGCTGACTTCCAGAAATTAAGCCATAACGATTTGCGTGTCTGCTCGTCAATACTATTGAATTCAGGATCGGCAGACTTGCGCCAGAGAACAGGATGGCTTTTGGCGAAATTTATAATGCGCATATCTATTGGTCGTACTTCCACCGGACGCACAGGAATACGTGGGGCCTTAACTTGCTGTACATCGGTGAAATCTATATGAGGGTTATCTTTTTGGCTTTTACTACTACTACTACTATTGTGTATGGTGTTTTCAATGGCATCCAGTTCCTTTCTCTCAAAGCCATCACCGTCGTCTTCGCCGCAATCAACGCTCGCCCATTCATTGCAGGGTAAATCGCGATTGGCCAAATAATTGGTTGCCTTATCGAAGTACCCCTTGAAGCGTTTGCCTTGTTTAAGCCGTCTCTCAATGCGAACGTAACGCTTGCGTATGTTCTTCCAACGCAATTTTATATTGTCGCCACGCTGAAAGTGGCTGGCTATAACGCGCCATTGCTTCTTTGTCACCTCCATTTTTCCGTAGTCTGGATGGCACGTGCACCAAATCGATGGGTATTCTCGTATTAGGCGGGTCAGTTTTCGATCATAGGCGTGAGCTTGTTCATTGCGATTCATGCTTTCTTCGGTGCCCAGCATTGAGTTAGGACCTAGCGAAGATTCATATTCTGTAAAGCCGTCGTCATCATTGTCGAGGTCATCATCGTTCTCTGCACTACTTTCTTCTGGATCATCGTAATCATAGTCATCTGGCTCATCATTTTCGTTGTCATTTTCACCCTCCTCGTCCTCGTCTTTGGGATCATCTTCTGCGCGGACGCCCAATGGCAAGAGTGGTGGTAAGGGCTCTGCTTCGCCCTCTTTGAGATTGGCATGCAAACTCTTGCGATACTCATACACCTGATTGTGAAAACTGTTACAGCCAGTGTTAAATAAATCAACGTCGTCCAATTGGCCATAACAAACATAATCCACGGCTGTAAAGAAGAAAAAGTGAAAATGTTGGGCATTTTTAGAAAACTTCTGCCAAGTTCTATTCCATTGCCTTTTTTGATATTTTGCAAACACATGGACCAATTGAAAAAAAATGTATATGCCAATGGATAGCTAGTCAAGGAAATGGAACTCGCAGAGTTTTCTTTTAACTATTACACTGATATATACTTACATGAGTCAACCACGCCACACACGAGAGCTCTGATTTCACGAGTATCTTTAGATATTTTTGTATTTTTTTTTTAATTCACAACTTAAATACATATAGTATTGTGGAAATTCTGTTATCCAGTCCATGTGTTAAAATATTCACTAAAGACAATGTACACTTGGCACTGAACCGCACTAGCGGCTCTAGTAAACTCCCATAACCAGACCCAAACGAGCTTAATATATAATAGATTTTTCACTTACCGGCAGCCAATTGACCGTTCTCAAGACTGTTGGCATCATTTTTGAAGCCAAGGTCACGCATATCGGCAAGGCATTTGTCCTGCAATCCTTTGAACCGTCCAATTGCGTATGTCATCAAATAAGATAGATGTATGTAGAGCTCTTTGAGGTCCAGATAACTGCGAGCCGAATTGTAAGCATTCGAGTTTGTAAGTGTTTGCACCTTTCCCGTGAGATGTGTGCAAATTTCCATTGCGTTGAAAATTTGCTCCTGCAGACGTGTTCGAGCCGAGCCGATGGCATCATTGGGAAAAATGTGACGAACCAAGGTGGAGGTACGCATGCCCACTGGGGTTAATACAACGGGCGCACCATTGGGTGGACCCGGCATCTGAGGCTGTGGCTGAGGTTGTGGCTGTACCTGAACCGGTACAGATTGCATCTGAGCGCCATTATTAAGGCGTACCAGATGCGGCATTCTCGGTTGAGGGTTCGGTTGCGGATTATAAATGCCCATATTCGAGCCATATCCACCGTTTGTACCCTGGCGTAGTGCTGCTGATGGTAATGGCTGGCGTTGACGCAGAACAACTTGAGGGCCAACCGAAAGCGGGGCTGGTGTAATTGGCCTCGGCTGCTGCGGTGTCGTTGATGCAGCTGGCACCTGACGCTTGACCTGTATGAGACGACCGTTTGGCAACCGGTAAGATTCCTGCTGTGCGGCAGAGTTGAGATCGACGCGAAAGCCATTGATGGTATGAAAAACTGGACCTGGGTTCCGTGCAGCCATCGGTGCTACCAATGTGCGGCGCACCACACTTAGCGAACTGGTGTTAGGCCCGCGATATCTAATACCAGTGCTACTCGGTACCAACGGTGGTGGCGCATTGCTACGCGGCATGGAAGTTGCAGCACTACCGCCATTAGTGCCGGTTGCTGAAGACGGACCAGTATAGTTCTGCTGGACGGTTACAATACGCGGTGTGGTGGTTATATTTGCCGACGGCGTAACTTGTCGTACAACTGTGGTCTGTGGCAACGAGATTTGACAGTCTGGTTCCAGCATACTCAATAGATCCGGAGTACAAACGACCTCATCGTTTGACGACTTTGGTCGCTTTGTTGGCGGACCCTGAGTTTTTTGCGGTTTCTTCGTTGAATTAACGGAACTAGAGTGACTGCGCTTCGATGCATTTGACTCGATGCTCTCCATGGAATCGGACATGCCACTCGCCCGAGATTTGGCCAGGCGACAGCAGGTGCTGTTATCCTTCATCATTTGAGAGCGGGCTTCAGCCTCGGGCAGCTGTAGTGACTTGATTCCTCTGAAACAAATAATCATGAAAGAATAAATTTCAATTGCCGTGACATGCATTTTCAAGCTATAAGCTTACTTTTTTTGTGCCTCGATGTAGTTGATGAGAGCCCAATGCTGCGCTCGTAATGGCCACAAAATTTTGGATGTGCATTTAAAGCAGTTCCAGTTTTCGTTCTGTTCGATATCATTGATGACACCGCGCGACAAATTCTTAATAATGCATGACTTGCAGAAGACGAACGGACAGGTGGAGCAGCAATAAACCTCTCCGCCTTGTCCACACCAGCGGCAATACAGCTCCGAGCCGTCCTCGCCCTTGGAGAATTCGCCGCTGTTGTAAAAATCGTGGCACTTCACGCAGTGCGTTACCCGCAAAATTGGATGCATTTTGATGTTACCCTCAACGCTGGGCGCCGTGCCAATGTGTGTTCGGCATACGGTACAGTGTACCTTGCGCTGGTTTACCAAATCCACTGTAGGGAAAAGCTTGTGATAGAAGCGGCGCTCCTCCTCTGAAATGCTGCTGTCAATTTCAAACTTGGTACCCGTGAATTCAACTTGCGCCTGCCCTTTCCCAACGCCTGACGGCGACGGTATGTCTAGAGCCATCGCCAATTCACTGGTTGGAGTGCCCATGGGAAGGGCCAGATGCAGAAAAATTTACCAATAATCGAACTGGCAAACGTGCAAATTTTGGTTTGGAGCCTCAATTTATTACAACAGCAATTCTTCTATTCGAGGCAAAAAAAAGGCGCGCGGCGCGTTGTTGTAAAAGAATATGCATATGTATGTACACTGCGAGCAACACGGTTTATTGATGATCTGCAAATTTTCGAATTTTCTATTCAAATTTTTGCACTTTGCCGACATAGGCAAGCAACTTCACAAACATTTTTTCACGTCTACTTTCCAAGATGGCGGTTTACTTCGTGGTTGCCTAGAAGCCGAGTGGTATACGAAGTGTACATGACAAGTTTACGTCGGGTTTGTCCGATAACTCTAGCATGTACATAATATATACACTTATAGGTACAGAACAGTATATATAACTAAGGTTTTTGGAATGTTGGTCTAATTTTTAGTTAAAAAATTCCTTTAAAAATATAATATTTCAAAATCATCAATAATCAATTGAGAATTGATCGTTAACCGCTTATATTTAACGTTTGTCAATTTAGATTGGGAATAATGAAATATATCTTTATATAATTAAAAGTTAACTAATATTTTAAAACCATAAATTCACTCGATTCTAAAATTTTAGATAATTCCTCATTTTGAATTGGTGTGGCAACCCTGCTGCATTTTTTATCCTCGTCGCACTTTGCGACACGAGTAGGCGAGCAAGCGGATGAACTCTATGACCCATCTGGCAGCCAATAAATAATATATGTAGATAAATAAATATAAATTAAATATTTGTTAAAAGCAATATTATTAGTTTTGAAAAATATACAATAAGTGATAATGCTAAAAGAAAATAACCAACCATTTAGATATCATTATTATTTTTCATAATGTTTAGCACTGCTGATAAACAGCTGATTAAAAAAGATCAGATCGATAATCAAATTATTATAAAACTTTATAACCTACTTGAACTCCTGTTTAAATGCAGTAAAAAAAAAAATGGTAATCTGATTTTGTGCTATGATCGGTTATGAGCTTGAACGTATGGGAAATTACGAATATGATGCATATATGTACGTACGTGCGTATGTATATACATACTTACCAAACATGACACTTAATAACTTTTTTGATCCTTCCGATCAATTATAGTTAGCATAAAAGCGTATGTCTAAATTAATCCACTCTCGTTTTTTGTATCCGTTGCAAAAGGTTTTGGTTTTTTCATAGAGTTGAAGCATGATGAAATCACAGCCAAAAAGAAATTTGAATAAAAAACAGCCTTTAAAGTAAACACTATCCCTTAATACTGCAAAATACAGTATTTAGGGCTACCAGATATCACAGGGTTTTAATCAATACGAAAATTTCAGTATTTTCGATATATTCACTGGAACTCTTTGAATTGACGCGCAATTTGTCTGATGTATTTGTAATCATTGTGACAATTCTGAAAATCTAATTCAACATAAATATTTTGTTCATACATTCATGGTAGTAAAATAATTTAGGTATTGTAAAATATTTGTTAATATTTACCGTAGGTCTTTAATATAACTTTATAAAGTTATACTATTCAGATATATGTTTTCTCAGTGTATATTGGTCGCTGTTGTTGCTCAACACTGTCATAGCAAGTATGAGTAATAAAGAGCAGTATTTTAATATTGATGCCATAGCTCGGTGTGCAAAAAATAATAATTCACATCTTGATGTTATTTTATATATGTGGATAATTTTCCGCCAAACAAAATGCATAAAATGCAGGCTTTTGGATAACGATTCACGATGCATCGTGATAGAAACGTCGATTTTTTCGATGTATCGATGTTTTGTGATAAAACTTGTCATCCCTCATAAAAAAGTTTACAGTGAGTTTACCTATTTTCTATGATTAAATTGCGTACTACATATGTATGTGTGCCCTTTGTTTTAAAAAGCAATAGTGGTCAAATAAATGGAAAGACAGTTTAATAATTTAAATTTACATAAAGAATACCTATAAGGCAATTGAATGCCTTTGTTGTCAATTCTTAAATTACTACTAAATTTTACAACAGTTCGTGCAAGTCTTTGAAAATGATACAAACTTATCACCCTCTATAAAAGAAAAGCCCAGCATCTTTACAATTTCACCATGAATACCAATCCCAGCACAAGCACTTCTGTATCCAGCAACGATGCAACATTTTTCTATGGCTGGGATTTGTTGTTCAAAGTAATTGCAAGTGATATAAACAAGAAGTCCGATGTGCTAATAGCACTTCTTCACTTTTTGCTAACCAGGCATTACAATCTCGCCTGCGTTGGAATCGGCGACGATGTAAGTAACAATTAAAGGACATTTTTTTGGAGATTAGGCTTTCAATTTGTCTTTGCAGAGAACTCTGGCAGTGGACGAAACCGGCTCTGAGCTTCTCCCTGAATGTTGGAACGATGATGATACAAAGTACTCACTACGCTATATAAACCAAAAGAGAAATATGTATTTGCTACTTGGTCACATCACAGAGGAAAGCATTCTGATTAATTTATTGGATGTAAACAATACCAAACACGTTTCGAACATTTATCTGGAACCAGAGTCATTGGTAGCGGCCATGAAAGGCAATATCAACAAACTTATTCCGACAGTGTCGGATGTTATCAATCGATACCGTGAGGAGTTGTTGGACCCGGTAAGAAGCTCATTCAAATCTCAATTTTACAACCAGATTCAAGCAGCTCATATCATTAGGTAATTAAAATAATGAATACAGAAGATGTTGCAGCAACAACAACGCAAACTGTCCACCCCACAATGCCGGATCCATTGCTTGTTGGTGTACCAAAACGTCCAGGGTAAGAACTTAAAAAAAATATTGGTTCGATAAGTATGTTCGAATTATTCCTTTAACATGCAGACGATTTATGCCAAGCGGCTTTGATCCCCAACCTTTTGGATTTCCCGAAGTTGGACGTGGGGACTTGGATCCTCTCGGCCGCGGTGGTGGTGGTAACTTGTTTACCTTTCCCGGGCAAGGTGGGATACCACATCCGTTAGCCAATCCGTCGGCAGGAAGGATTCCCCGCCCACGTTTTGATCCTTATGATCCTTTCGCTGAACTTAATCGATTTGGTGGCCCCAATCCTGACCATCTTCAACCTCCTAATTGGGGAAATCCTGATTATTACAATTAATTTGTGATTTCAAACACGTTTTGTGAATATAGAATAAAGGTGATCGATGATTATGGTTTATTGTCCTTTTTTTATTGTTGCTCATGTATAGTACACAAAGAATATTAATATAAGATATTATGAATATTGCCAGACCAAAAATGTATCCAAATTCTAATACGATTTAAGGAGGACTAAACAATTTGAAAATATGTATTTTTGTAGTTTAATACAATTTAATTTAAATCGAAGCTGTGAAACATGAATACAGTTTATTATATTGATACCGTGCTGGCAGATCAGTTATGCTCATTTTAATCAGATGTCAACTATACTAGAAAATGAAATGGCTTTTAAATATTACATAAAATAATCAACAGAAATGTTGTATGGGGAATTAATAGATTTAAAATGAACAAAAAAGTACGGATTATAATCTCAAAATTACTAAAGAAATCCCTAATATATAAATGTCACTTAAATATGCAGCAGTAATGTTTTTCTTCATTATTTGCTTAGCCTAATATTATTTTACTTTGTGGAAATAATATTTTGCTAAATTATTATAGTTTTAAACATTAGAGGGCCTGTAAAGAACTATCGCACAATCGGCTGTAGGCCACACGTATGAAGGCGTCAATGCTTGTTTCAAAATTGACTTAAATAAGCGCTGCAATCGCAAGTCAATATTTTATTTCAGTTTATGTATATATGTATATATTGTGTATATATAACGCTTAAGTATATAAATCATTTGTGTGCCTTAATATTTACTGCTGCCTTGTGCTCTTTCAGTATTGGTATTGTGATCATTCACCCAAGCGACTCGTGCTCGTGCCCAATGATTTTTAGCGAAGCTTTTCCTCATCAGTCCCATTCCCCAATGAACATACGAGGTGTTGGTATATAGCCACGCGTCGGTAGTTGCAAATGGCGTCCATAGATGTGACTGTACGGTGATTCGACAAGGTCGGAATCTACAAAAAGCGTATTAAATGACTATTAGTGAGCATCGTGTATTCGATTAGGCCGATATACAATGGATATATGTACATATGGTGTACGTATGTTTGGTTGTACATATGTATGTATGTAGGTAGTATGTACAACATATTTTAGGTATACCGTAACAGTTGCAGTCCAGGGTCCAAGTTAGGGTGAAGTTAGTACAAATAAGAGAAGTGTAGTAAATCGTAGGTGCACCAGTTAATAAGGTTGTTTTGAAATTGCTACTAAAATGTAAAGCCAGTTTTGCATATAGTATGTACTATATATACAGCATTAATTGGGGGTACAAAAACCAAAAAATTAACGAACTGTTGATATCTGTAAAATAACCTCATTTTGTTTTCTTGAGCTGCTCTTTTATTTTATTTTTTCTGTTTACTGTTTTTTGTTGGCAAACACGGCTGTTGCACCCCATTTCAATAGTCGAGTATTTGGATTTTCTTGAGGCTAAGACTGCGCGGTTTGCGTGGCTTTAGATAACCATAAATGGACTCCATGTCGCTTATGTCAAGGCGGCTGGCAGTTCGCCCAATTCTTTGATGTTGTTGTTGCTGGTGTTGTTGTTGCGACTGTTGCTTGTGGCCAGCATTGTTTGTTGTTGCCGTTGGAGTTGCTGCTGGAGTTGCATTTGTTGTTGCTATTATTGATGTATTAGTAACTGGAGCTGCAGTTGTTATTGTTGTTGTTAAACTCTTTGTTGCTGTTGTTATGGGCATTGGCAGCGCAGTTGTTATAGTTTTGACTTTACTATTGAAATTATTTTTGCTGTTTTTCAAGTTGTCGTCATTGTTATTGTAGCCGTTGTTGAGGCTGTTGCTGTTGTTGTTCGTTAACTGTCTCTTGTTGTGGCTATTGGTATTGTCATATGGTTTTTTGTCAGTTTTTGAAAAATGCTTGGCCATGTTGTCTTCAACTGCACTCTTTAGTTTTGACTGTTGTTGTTGCTGCTGCTGTTGCTGCTGCTGACGATTGTTGCACCATTTTGGCGGTGGCAGTAACGGCTTTGCCGCTTTGGCATTGCCACCGGCATGGTCATTGTTGTTGTAGTATTTACTCTTGCCTGCTCTCGAATTGAGCTTGCCACCTGTGTAGCTGATATCGGAATCTAGTGAGTGGCGCACACGATCATAAATGTTGGTCGCCGACGGCGCCTTCACAATGCGCTTGCGACCGCCGTACATATAAAGGGAGCCCTCCTCGTTGGGCAGTTCAAAGAAACTCTCGGTGGACTGAGATTTATTGCGTGTGGCTACCAGGCCGACATCAGGCTGGCATCCATGCCCATCCTGTCGCATTTGTCGTAATCGCGCCCGATCCTCTATATAGACATCTGTCTCCTCGTTGCTAAGATAGTGCTTTGCTGAATTGCTGGTTCGACATACCGGCAACTGACGCTGGCCGTGCACATCACGCAACTGTCGCATATATTTGGTCTGTGTGTCGGCGTCAATGTCAAAGTTAAGGTCCAGGTTCATGTCCAGGTCGAAATCATCGTACTCATAGCTGTCCGCATTGTTGTTGCCGCCAAAGCGATCGCTATAGAGCTGGCTGTCTGGTACGTATTGCTCGTCATTGGTCACCACATCGTCCTCTTGGACCTGCTCCAGCACTGAAATATCACTTTCACTGCACCACTTGACCACACCGGCATGCTTATCGAGCAGCCCGCCGCTCAGACGCTGATGTTGACGCAGTTGCTGCTGGCTTAAGCTGCGCTGTGGGCGTGGCGGTGGCTCCACACCACAGAGTGGTGCCAGCGCATAGCAACTGACGCAGTTGCAAGCGCCGTTCTCGACAACCGGGCGTCGAATGCTCACCCGACGCGCAGCTTCTGGCAGAACAGTCGGCTGGTCGAATTGCTCATAGTAGGTGCGCGGTTGGTGCGGGGGTGTAAAATATTTGGCAGTGGAAGAAGCGGTGTCTTTGCCATAACTGGCGGATAATTGCCGGCGCAAGCAATGGCGACTGTGATGGAGATGCGAATGCGGGTGCGAGTGAGAATGAGGCTGAGGCTGAGGCGCCATTTGTGATTTACGTCCCAGTCCGTTCGGTAGACGGTTGCGGTGCGTGTGGGGTTTATGTGTTTGGGGGTGCAAAAGCTGTGCGCTGGGCGCGCTTGCAGTCGTTGGTTGTGCAGTGCTCTGTGTCTTTGTAGTTGCAGTTGCTGTTGCAGTTATTGCTGTTAAGTCCGTTGGAAGTGATTGTGGTTGCTGTTGTTGTTGCAGTTGAAATGCGTGCGTTTTGTGCTGTTGTAGTTTTTGTTGTCGATGAGGCAGCGGCATTGCCGCACTCTTTTTATAAATACCTATACCACTCTCATAGCTGCGCGTCTGCCAAATGGAATGGTTATGCTGGTGATGGCTAGGATGGTGGACGGCATGGGCAGCAGCCGCAGCGGCCATTAGCTGTTGCTGCTGGTGTTGTAAGTGGTGTGGATGCATGCCAGACAGATGATTGTGTATCATCGAGGTCTTCTTATGGCTCAGTGTGTTCATGCCGCTGTTGCCGTTGCTGTTGCCCATCATGACACTGTCTCTTTGATCCTTCGAGCCTGACTTGGACGATTTGACAAAGTTGGGCACGCGTGCACGCAAGCCGCAATAGTAGGGATCATCTAAAACGAATATGCATATAAGTTAATACATACATATGTATATCTCAGACAAAAATAGAAAAACATACCATATTTCTTGTTGTCTTTGCCTTTATCCGATTTGCCACGCGACAATTTGATTCTGGTTTCCAAATCAATGTCATCATAGTCCGGCTACACGCAAAGGTCACATGAAATAGACACGAAAAAACGCAAGGGTTATGACTAAATTTATAATGGAACTATTGCAGTGTAAATAAAGTGACTTGGCTCATAGGCATGCGCAATCAACTTAGCCTCGTTACGGGCACTCATACACACACCCTCCCAATTACAGTTACCCATAACTGTGCACAATTGCAGACCCCTGCACTTGTCGTGGCAGTCTGCCCAGTCACAGCAACAATAACAGCAACAACAGCGCTGGCAACATTCCGCGCATATTAATTACATGCGATTCGTTTCCAGTTATTTCTCTTCGCTGCTGAAATTCGAATATTATAATTGAATGCAAACCAATTGCTTATTGAAGCTCGACGACGTCCATTTGGCCGCAAGCCAGCGAAATCGTCGTACAGTCGATGCACTGTGGTCTGCGTTTTACAAATCCCACAAAAAAACTGCACATATACTTACAACCAAAGTTGTGGCTAGAACTTATTTTGAGCTAAGTTTTCTCTTATTTTAAGCCCCTAAAACGGAACAAACAAAGAAATTCTGATGGCCAATTTATTAATTTTATCTAACAATAAAATGATTTCGTCTATTTGTATATTTTTCATACAAAAACAGACGACTTTTGTTCAAATATCAAAGTGAAATCATCTTTATATAAAGAGTTGAAGTTGTATCTTAAAAAGTATATCTAGTGATTTTTAGTTGAGACCACTGTGCACCCCCATCGCCATGCAACAAGTGCATCCAACGTGCGTTGCCTGCATGAGTGGCACTTATGGCCTGGTATTTTTAGCCATATTGCTGCCTGAGACTTGGTCGTAGTCACCAGAATAGAGCCGAAAGCCATTTTCGCAAGTGCTGAGTTTGCTTTTTATTTGAGCTCAAAAATGTTGCCTTGCATGAAGCGAAGCATAGCCAAACGCTTTAAAGTGTAACATTGTTTGTTGGTTGTTGCTGCTATTGTTGCAGCAACAAGTTGCTACACTTATTTTACCTGCGTATACGTGTTTTGGCACCTTAAATTAGTTTTACTACAACTTAACAAATCTACCAGTATTTTTTGCACTTAAAAACAAAAGACTTAAGCAACGAACTTGGAGCAGTGTTTGCGGATCTACGACAGCACTCACCTTTGGAATTATTTCGTGCGAGTATATATTGTCCCTCGGCGGCAATTTCGGCGGCTTCTCGCTACGCTTGTGCGCCAATTGTTGTGTTTGGAGTAACAATTGTTCACGAGTGGCTGCCACATGACCGGTGCCATTATTCGAATGTTTTGCGGACGACAGCTGCTGCTGGTGACCGCTGCCGAAGCCGGAGCTGCCCGAACTACCACCACTGCCATTGCCGGCCACACTGTAAGGATCCTCGTCAGGTATGGGTATACGCGGGCGATTCTTGATATCGACTATTGGCCGTTGCACTAAAGTGAAATGAAGCAGAGGCTTGCATTTAAGTGGACAATTGAAAAATTCTGGGCAGTTGGTGTCGACTGTAATTCATAAATCAATAATAGTCGACCAATGGCTGCACAATTACAATACACAAGATCATACACACACACACGCATACATAAAACCCAACAGACGATGGTAAGCAATTGACTAGACACTTTTTCTTCATTTGGAAAATCTGCATTAATTGAATATGTTCAATACCATGCTTCAAATTAAATAATATACAATAATTCTACTTATATACTACTCATATATGTTATTCTTTACATTTCATACTTACTTATTTTAAAGGTATAATATTTTTAAATTTAACAATTTATGTATGCCTGAAAAATTTTTAATGAATAAAATTTAATAGGATTTAATAATAAAATAGGATCAACACCCCGATTATTATAGTGCCAATACGTACAAATACGTGCCTTATAAATTGACTATAGATTTCATTTACAATTTGGTTTTGTTCATTCAAGGAGAATGAATTAAAATTAATATAAATAAAAAAAAATTGTATGAAAAAAAAAAATTAAAAATTGCGGTATGTACAGCAACTACGAAAAGCGAGAATGAATTTATCAATGTTATATTCAATTATAAGGTAGATTACATATTCGAAATAATTTTTAATGCTAATCGGAGGTCATAATTGAGTAAAATTATTGAATGTAATCAATAAAGCGTTGCTGTACTTTTTTCGTTTTTATAAAATTAAAATAAAAGTGAAGTAATTAATCAAATTAATGAATTATAAAATTTTCAAATAATAATGATGTGTAAAACTAAAGCAATTTCTATTTCGATTAACAAGCAAAGTTTAACAAAGGTATAAATAAATTTATAGATTTTTTTCAGCCAACGTTCTTGGACAATAACAAATCTAAAATTTGGAGCCAATATATTTCGAATTTTGTTTTGCTTAAACAATTTAGAGAACCAGAGTGAGTCACTATGTGGTAAAGAAGGTAACGGAAATAGAAAGTGTGCTTGGAATACTATTTTTTTACTTTATAGATGGAAGAATACAATAATCATGTTATTTAATATACGAGAACAAGCTCATTCAAAAGCCAGCTAAGTCTAGCTAGTTCGGTATTTACTTGTGGCTATAAGGTTTCCGTATTCTGCCTACTGAAATCATCTATAATAGTCTGTGGTTAAAGTGCAGTTCCTATTCAGTTGCGAGGCAATGTACAGATAGAAATACACACGAGTATTCTCGTAAATAAATTTAAGCAGGTCTCTGTGCGAAACAATAGAAACGGCTTTGTACTTTTGAACTTCAGCAACGACATATAGCCTTGAACTGCTTTTGCTAGAACACACACATACACAGACACACAGACTCACAAACCATCGTACACTTATGTCGATTGACCGACATGACTGTGGCGCTGCATCGCGGCACTCACCTGGTGGCAGCTTGCTCTTTAGCATATCCATGGCTACCACATTCACAATGAGCACCCAAATGGGGCACTCCAAAATGTCATTCTCTGATCTGACAAAGGCCACAGCCGATAGGCACTGCGTCTCCAAGCGGCGACGATCTGGATAGGCACGACGCAGTTCACGATTTACGTTCGACTGAAACTTTTTCATATCGAAGAGCTGTACGGGTTTATAACGCATTAGTGGTGGCAATATACTCGTATAAATATATATTTGCATTCTCTGTCGCTGGCGGAGCCGTCTCAACTCACCTTGACTATTTTTTCGCTTTCGAGCGCTTGATTTGGTAACTTCAAGATTTCGGCACCAATGGATGTTTCCTCATTGGGACTGTTGGCAGTACTCTTCACGAAGACGTTGCTTTTGGCATACCGACGCACAAGTATGTTTCCAGCATCGTCCATTTTGATCTTGACGCCCTGCCAGAAGCAAAAAAAAAGACAACGCAATTAGAAATCAAGCCAACTTCAAAACAAAAGCTGAGAGTCACTTTGCCTTCGGCCAGCGCATGGCTTGTCAGCAATTAATGTGACAAATCCCATAAGGCTTCATTCAGCGAGCCAAGTGAGTAACAAGTGGCTCAGCAGCTTCCAATGCCCACTAATGGCCATTTCTTGTTTGAAATGCCGTAAATACTGCTTATTGTTATTAATAAGTAAATTAATAATCAGGCGCCACCTTCGAAATGTTCGACGAAAACTGTGCCGCCTAATTATGCCATAAATCTCATGCTTACCTGTCCGATGACGCGTTTAAGTTCCTCTGTTTTTTGATCGCGCATGGGATTGTCAAAGCCGCACAGACCAATGCTGTAAATATAGAGAGGAAATGATAACATACATTATTAAGATACATCTGCATTATAATTACAAGTTTGATGCACAATAATTCAATCATCTGCCGTGCTTAGGCTACTAGCGGCTATAAATCAATTAGCGTGCTTGGATATTTCCTTCACTACAAGGGCGTAGGCAGGGGGGAAGTGGGTGCCGTTGTCCCCCTCCAAAAATTGTTCCCATATAAAGTCGATAAGACGTTCATTATTATGACGCACTATTTCTGCTTAAAATGGATCTGAGTTGGATTTGTTGAAGTTTTGTCATTGATCATATGCATGTTATTTTTTAAATGCATCGTGCATTATTTAATTAAAATTGTAATTTTTTGGCCTCCCCCTTTGTAAAAGCTGCCTACACCCTTGCTTCACTATCAATAGATTTTGGGATAGACGCTGCCCAAGGTGTCTGATTGTGACTCATGGTCTCCGCAAAGCTCATAAGCGCACGGGACATTTGTTAGATTAAACGTTTGACAAAATATCCGGACAACAATTGGCAACACAACACGAGCCATTATGTGGCAATGTGGCCCAAATGCAAGCCAACGGTTGTTAAACAACAAATACAAATAAAAACTGGAAAAACTGTTAGTTGCATGACACCCATGCGTTCGCCTGCCGCAAATTCGCATTGACAGTGATTTATGCTCGGGTCAGAGCGAACCCATTCAGGCTGGGCCCGACGTGTGGCAGCGGCAGCTGTGCATTAGCTTTCAAATTTTTTTGCTTTCAATATGCAACCCAAATAATAATAACAAACATGTCGTTTTCGGTAGTTTAATTGCTGCGCTTGTTATACTCGCCCAAGATGTGGACATATTTGTATACCCTATAATAACTGAGTGGCACATAAACAGTCGTACTGGAAACATCCCACCCTTTGCTTTAAATTTTTAATTAATCTTATTATCTCAACCTAAAGTTTAACTCGCATCAGATTTAAGTCTAAACTATTTTGGTATTAAACATGTGTTAGCTTTAAAATCGAAACAGGGTGTACTTTTAGAATAATTTCCAAATATATGCGCTACAAGGATAGTGAAAAAGTATAGCTTTAACAGAAACATCTGCTTTTATTTACTAAATTGGTAATACATTTTGTTTATATTCTGATGCTTTATTTCGTACTGTTTGTATCAGATAAAAAAGATTTCATAAACTAGTTTTAAGAATTATTAACTTTTCTGTCTAGGTGGCTTGACATTATCTGATGCCCCAATACATTTCGACCCAATTAGTAATGGTTGTTGTCTTACAATCAAATACAAAACGATGTTTGGAATATATTGAATATTGTTCACTACCATTTGGAATAACCTAAATATAGGGTAATTAATAGCCGCGCTAATCCGCTGGTGACATTCTTATTGTTTTCAAATGACACGTCCATTTGCTTGCAACATATAGGTGAGTCATAATTGTCATGCAAAATCGCCCCTTAGTGGGCACTTAGTGACCAATTATGCCATTGGTTGGTCTGTCTGCCTCAAGTTTGTGTTCCAAGTCATTTGTTTCACTTGCCAAGCCTTACACTACCAGTAGGTAGTGTTTGAAAATTAATAGCAAAGAAAATTACGCGTTAAGGCCGCCAAAATGTCGGCAGCAATGCTAACGAGCTGGAGATCTTTAAATTGTGGAGGAAGCCGTAGTCGCAGCCACAACAGCAGCCGTAGACAACAACCACAAAGGCTGTAAACAATGACCAAGCTAATTGTAATTGTCAGTTGCAAAAAAGGCCACGGCATACTAATCTTAAACACCACTGCCGTCGCTGTTGTAGTTGTTGTTGCTGCTGCTGCTGTTTTTATTATTTGTGCTACTCCTGTCAACTGCAATGCCGAGCTAACTTGACTCTTCAGTCAATCAGTCAGCCTTCTGCATAGTTTTAATTCACAACTCGATCGAATGATCAATCAATGTTGTGTTGAAGAAACAGTCTAAAAATTATTTTTTGCATTATCACTATGCGTAATTGAAATTGCGAATAGAGTTAAAGGAATGTCCATTGTTTTTATTGAAATTTCAAGCAAGACTTAACTCAGATTTCCTTAAGCATAAAGCTCAGCCGGATGTTAGCTACTCGTACATTTTTAAATAAAACTATGTTTATTTTAGCTACATTTTTCAACCATTTTGCATTTTAATTGTTGGCTAGAGCTGCAGTCTAAATTTATTAATTTATTCAATAATATAAAAAAGCATATTCATATAAAATATTTACAAAAACACATTAATAAAACACCTCTACCTTATTCCATCTAGCTATGCTTCGATTCGCAGAGCAAAATTAAATTACCTACAAAATATTACTAATTTATTACCTCTGTTCTTAGCTAACGTCAACTGTTTAAAACTTGTGCTTTTAATAATACTGGTTAAAAAAAACATGTCATTTTTATATAGGGTTGGAATTGAAAGTTTATATCAGGTTTTATGGTTAGGACATCAAAATCAATAAAACAAAAATCAAACTAAAGCCAATTTGAATAAACTTTTTTGTGTACCCTTTATTATTCGTAATTAATTGCCAATTTTGTTGTTGTCTTAAGAAAAAATATTTTTTTTATTTAAGCTAGACAATTTCTAAATAATTAAGCAATAAAGTATACGGTAAAATTCATAAAATCTGGTTCTCGAATTTTTATTGTATATACCTGCTGATTACTGTGCATAAATAGGGGCTTAAAAAGAGCTTTGCCTAACTTTTTTATTGCCAATTAAATCTTTGTTGAAGTGTTTTGGTTAAAGAAATAACAAAAAGGATCCAAATCAAATATTAAATACATTTGAACTTTATTGCTATGAAGAGTCTAAATACAATGTTTAAAGACAAAATTCATATTTTTAATTAAAAAACTGATAGGATTCACATTCACTTAACATGTAATTGATATTATTTATCTCTCATAATTAACGGGGAAATTATGTGGATAGCCAGATTTAGTTGTGGAAACACTCTATCTTCCAAGTACTTTAGCCCAATTGAGTTACGTTTTCGTCACTAGCTTGTAAGGCAGGAAATCGCAGCACACAGTATAGTAGGTACATACTAGGTGTAAGAAGCAAGTCTAAGAACAGCCACAACAATAACAGCAACATAAAAGTTGCTGTTGGCATCGCATTGGCATTTGGCCGTGTGCTTTAGTTCTGAGCGTAACGTCTTCTTCTGTTCGACGGTGATTTATTGGCTAAATGCTTGTAAAAACCGTTGAAATGTGTGTCAAAGTTTTCAAGTGAGAGCCGTTGTGGCCGCGGTAGCTACACATTAACTGCCTGGTTGGTTGGTTGGTGTACCATGAAATGAAATCGAGTGTGTATTGTAGTGTACTCGTATGTGTGTGTGTGTGTGTCTGTTTGTTTGAATTGTTCAAGGTTTTGCAGCGTTTATGTTTTGAAAATGAATTCAGCAAACACGAAGCGGATTTGGTGTTCTTTATTTTGAGCTCAGCATTGAAATGGCTCGTTTAATTCACGCCAATAAAAATGTTATTAAAATTAAATACCAAAAATAAAAGGCCAGAACTCATTCTAATTCTAGTCGAGCACTCCACAGCGCTACTTATATAGATTGGGGACAGCCAGCGTATCGATATGCTTGCATTCTTATAAACAACATACTCGTATGCAGTGGCCAATCAATTTGCAGTTGGCTGACTGTTGCTGTTTGCATTCACTTCGATATAAATATATATTTTTTGCCAGCATATCAGTTGCAAGGTCGTCCACTATAAATGGGCGCAAAACTTGTATGAAAAACAAAACTGGACCTGACACGCCTAAATGAGTAAATAATGTAATGCATGGCAAAAAACAATATTTAAGAGCCCAGAGCGTGCAGGCGCATTTGTGCGGCTGCTGTAGCAACGAAAGCGAGAGTGTAGCACCAGACACACGCATATACACACACACACACACACACGCACACACAAACAAGAAGCGGCTTCATTTTGGAGTTCAAGTTAAACGTGTGGAGTGGGTCAAGCACTTGCACCGGCAGCCCCGACGTCTTCTTCAAGGAAGCGCAAAAATGCATATAACGGGGACTGGTTTCGGTTTTGTTTTCGATTTCGTTTTTCAAGCAACGGACAACGGCAACAGTTGCAGCGACAGCAGCAGCAACAACAACAACAACAGCAACATCAACAGAGCCAGCGTCTTCGCCTGCAACTGCATTCGAAAAGTGGCAGTGGCAGTTTGACCTGCGGCAAGTTTTGCTTGGACGTGGGACACGTTGAAAACAACCGGTTTAGTTTAAAAATACCAGCCGCAACCATCAACTTTCATACTATGTGCTTACTTATAGTACTTGCTATCTATAAAAATATTTTAGTTAAAGCAACGTTGAGCTACGAAAGATTTAGGCGCCGAACGCGCCGCTACGATATATTTAAATTTAATTAGATTATTACTTATTGCTGGCGAACTAAGTAGTCGCCGTCTGTAGAATAAGACAACTGCCAACAGACTCTGGCTGCCCGTCGCCAGTCGCACCTTTGAAGGCCATGTCATAGCGCTGACGTTTTCTGCTTTTCATTTTTTGTGTTTTTTGTTTTTTGTTCTTGGCGTGCACAACACGCACGATATTGAGGCCGACAGAACTGGCACGTGTGCTCCAACAAAAGTCTGAACTACTTACAGCTAAAGTTTGCCTTTGCCTTTTTGTCTTTTGTCAATTTTGCAACTGTGCTTACTCACCAAACACCGTTCAGTTGGCGAACTAATGCTGGCTGTGCCCCGTTTTTGTTATAACAAATCAAAACTGTCTTTTATGCGATTTAAATTAAAGCATCGGCCTTGGGTCGCACCTTTTTTGCCACACTTTTTTCCGCACGAAACAAAATCAAAATGCTGCAATAACTAAACGGTTTTTATTTGCCCTGCGTGATCGCGAGCACCGTACTAATATGTATCACTAGGCACGACATACACTCGGCAAAAAGACGAAATTTTATACAAGATACTATTTAAGACAATATAAATTCAGCTAAAAGGTTAATACCTTAGCTTTGAAAAGATTAGCTACATTGAATTAAAGTAGCCTTGGCTATACGAATGCAGCTTATTATAAAAACTCATGAGCTACTTATTTATTTGAAACCCATTGTCTTAATCATGTACTTGGCAAACTAAAGCCTCATCCTCAATGTGAACCAGAAATAGGCAAACATTTTTTGGAAACTCTCTGTCTGCTACAATTTTAAATAATATTAATAACAGACATAGATATTCAATGGATGAAGAAAGTAAATAATTCTCTTTTCGAAATCGAATCATTTTTCTAAGTGTATGAGTTGTGATTTTTAGTTTTTTCTCATGTTGTTGGTTCGTGCTGCTGCCACTGTTGTACATTTGGCCAGCGACATGCAAATTATTGGCAACGCCCACGCGCCTTTGTTGGCCCCAAATGCAAATATGCCGATCAGTCAGCGAACCAGTCGCGCAAATCTACTTACTATGCTGACATAAAGTATAATTTATATTGGCGCCGTTTCAATTGCAGTGAAAACAATGGCTGCTACGTCCATTGTGGCGGTGAATATGCGGATTCTCTCATTAATTAAAGAGGCTGGTAGCTTGTCGTTGAAATCGGTGTGGTCCTCGAGCATGCCATTGCCGCTGCCACTTACATGAAGCACTTACTGGCGGCGGCAGCCAAATTAATTAATTTACATTCTGGCAAGGTGTTGAAGCTAACAAGACTGTAGCTCGCCACTTAGGCCAAGTCCTCGCACCACATGCAGGCTGTGGATTTGCATTTGCGAGATTTCTAACGAAAAGCGTTGCGTGCTTCTGGAATAATGGCCATTTATATTGGGATATGATATCGAAATCTGTGCACCATTCAAATGGCATGCCTATTTTTAATTTGACAACAACGATGCAAAACAAGGCACAGCCAACAACATCAGTACTAGAACGAGCAGTTAAAGGCAGTTGAAGCCAATAGCAAATGCGGCAGTCCGAAGAGCTCACGGCAGGGCTAACAAGCCTTGACAGCAACAGCTAATTAAATAACAAGCTAGACATGGCTGGCCAAGCACTGGTCAGTTTTTATTTGGATGTGGTAGCAAAGGTCCCTATAAATATTTAGTTGGCCCTATTACTCTATAAGCTAGAGATGGGCAGAATTTGGCACTGGACTTGGAGTAAAGCTATCCTCATCCTTGATTTTCTTAAGGCACACAATCTATGTGTTTCCCTTTGTAATCATGAATATTAAGGTAATGTTTGTTCTTTTTATATACGTTTTACTCTAAAGTTGTCTGTAGTCTATTATTTTAAATACTGGCCGATTTAATAAAGCCGATATTTGTATGTTAAATCGCATTATTGGGCTAGTAAAAAGTGGGGGTATGGGTGATATTCTGGCCCAAACGATTAATTGATATTCGGTAAATTTAGTCAATTTGTTAATAATAATAGCAAAAACCCCATAAACATAATTGTTAAGGTATTATAATAAAAACATTGTTTATTGTACATATCAAAAATTAAAAATAAAAGAAGCATAATAGATTTAATAATATTTTATATTGAATACAAATGATAAAAATTGTGTTAATGTTTAATTTTAAAGTAGTATGATACTAGACTAGACAATTACACTGTTGTCCGAAAACAATGGCTAATGTGCAAGCAAATTAATAGCATTAATAGCAAATTAAAGCATAGCAATCATCTTACACATCTCGGTTTACGCGGAATATTTTGGACAGGGCTTCTCTTTCTAGACTGATCACAAAGTGTGTCATAATTCTAAGTCAAGAAAATTATTCTTTGAGTATTTCAAGAATATTTGCGTCATATATATTTATGTGTGAGTGATGAGCTTCTAAGAATACAAAATTATGACAAATGTTTTATCACTGAAATAATAATTATTTAATTAAGCAACAATTATAATTATTATAATAAAATCATGATTATTAAGGGGCCCAGGCAAAGATTTTGTTTACACATCGAAACCGCTCGTCCTATACCCCCATCTTCTGTGCAGATATTACCCATTTGAGTGAGCCGACCACACGCGATTCAAAAACAAGCAGCATGTCATTATTGGCCAGCTACTTAGTTAGTTAGCACGACTGTCGAAAGTACAAATAATCGTTTGATGTTAGCGCCATGGCGCTATTCCCTGACCCCGCAAATTGATTAACTTGACACTTTCAACTTCGAAATGAATTTCAAATTTTCCCCCGGAGGGTGAGCAAATGTTTAACCACAATTGACAGAAGCGCAGCATAAACAAGCAGCAAACAACAACGACAACGACAACAGCAACAGCAACAACAAGAGACATTGTCGAGCGTCTGCTGATCGTGGCGTTGGCGTCACCTGCGCGTCCTCAATGCAAATGAAAGAGAGAAAGAGAGTTGGAGACTTGGAGAGTTGGAGAGGGAGACGAAGAAAGGAAGGCAGCTAACAAGCGCAATGACAACTGCAATTTGCATGGCAATCTGTGATAACCTCGTCACGAATGACTTTCGTTATTATTTTCCATTTGGTTATGGAGCGAGATGCGACGGCTACTTTAATGCTGTTGGATTTGATTTCGGCAGATACGTACTACAAGGTGCAATTTATAGTGCAGTCTCAGTTTGCAAATATCTGACTGTGAACATGTAACTACACAGTCTTTAATTGAATTTTGTTGCTTAGCATTGCAGTTGTTGTTTCGAGCACTATTGTTGTTGTTGTTGTTTTGTGTTTCTGTTTTTGCTGATGCTATGACATTTTTGTTGCAGCATCTTCATTTGGCTGACATTTGTTGGCACAAAGGAAGCCGCTGCCGTTTTTGTCTTCGTCGTCATTGCTGTTTTTGTTTTGGTTGCAACTGCATTGCACTTTATGCCCTTTTTAGGCCAACATCTTTATGGGTTAGCCTACCAATATACATAGTGGCTGATATGTTTTTCATCTTTTGAATATATGTATGTATACATTACTGTTTGCATGGAACCATGATAAGTCGCACAGCTATACACAAGCTATCCACGCAAATATTTCGGTATTATAACTTGAATGAAACTTTTCAAATATACAGACACAAACGTATATTTTTTGAATTTTCAATCTCTTTGCCTTAACAATATATGCGAACAGGTCAACATCTTACTAATTATTAGAAAACTTATTTATTTTCGTTGATTTTTAGATCGATGGGTAATGATAATTGGTTAGCTGTAAATCAGGCCTTCATAAAGACACAATGGAGTTTTGTAAAATAACATCTAAAGACCTCTAACATTCATAACAAAATTAGTAGATTGTTATACTCTAACCTCTTATGTTTTAAAAATATGTAAATTAAATATACTGGTTTTTTCTATTACTCTATTAATTTTCTCCTTTTTGTATTAAAATACAAAAAATACAAAAACAATCCATTAGATTTGCTGCAAACTGCTCAAAAGCTTGAAAATACGCCACAAAGGATAATTCAGAAGCATTTATAAACAAATGTGATTAATCTTCACAAGTTGGCTGATAAAAGATAATCCATAAGGGGCATACACTCAGCTGTAGTGAATCTAAGCTAAGTTTTTATTTCATTTTTGTTGCTGTGGCTTGCGTGGCTACAAATACAAATGCCAGTTACAATTTGCTGCTTGACAATGCATTTATAGATAAAAATACTTTATCTGTCTGACATAATTATATGCATTATTCAAAGCTGAAGAAAAAACAACACTTGATTTAAATAAAATTGAAATTTGGTGCTATGCGGTTTCAGTTGAAGCTGCTACGCGAGTATTGGATGTGTGTGGGCTGAGGTCTCGCTGAGTGGCTTACAAAATTGCAAGCAATTGAGTAAAGCTCTTGGCATTTGCAATTTTTAGCACGCAAGTATTTTTGAAACGGAATATGTTAATTAGCTGGCCGCAATCACAATCACTTGCTGGCTGACTGACTGCAGTCGCGAGTGCAGCTCTTAGACAGAACTTTTTTGGGGCCGCCGAAACCAGAAAGAAAAACAACATCAAATTCTTGACTCTAATTAAGGTGCAAACTGTGGCCGAAAATTGTAGATTGCCTCAACAATGTATCCATTCTGGCCGCGCAACGGAAATCGCTCATTTTGCATAAATACGCGCAATTATTAAAACATTTTCACTTACGCTTTGTCCATTGCTCTTGACAAGAGCAGCCAACCAACAAAACAAAAACCAAAAACCGAAAATTGACTTGCCTGCCAGCCACCATTTCGGCCACATTTGCACCTGGCAGAATACCCAAAAAAAAAGATCTTAAAATAAAAAAACTAACCACTTGCTTGCTGTCTGAGGTCACATTGTAATTTGCATGTATTTATGGGCCTTAAGGCATAAAGAAAAACTGAGCTCATTGTAACTTGAAGGTTCTTGTATCGTCTCATTTTTCTTATGCCATTATTTCTTTATTCTTTCGTCGATGCTTAAGAAAATTTGTCAGTATTATTACAGCGTAGCGATTACATTTTTTTCAATTTCAAAAACCATCAATTTGATGGCCATCCACAGTGCAAAGTTTCATTCATTCAAATGACTATGACTGACGCCTCTTAAGTGTGGTCTTTTGGCTATCACTGTTGTTGATGCTATTGGTGGTCATTTGGAGAGTATCAGCTGTAGTTTGTATATTTACAAAATACAATCAAATATACATAAATATATTTAAGTATGTTTAAAAAACCCCCATCTCCCCGTTGATTATTTTCTCTGCTACTGGGTCAAGGGCGTTGTTAAATTAAATTTGCTCATATTTATTTGTTTTTGTTTCTTGCGCTCTCAGCGCTTAAAGTTCAAAGGCATCATTTGTTTTAAGGTAACGCCGCCTCTTGAGTTATTTTTTAATGCTTTTTTCGCATCAGCACAGTAATTAAACAACGCCCTTTAGTTATAATTATACATATGCATACAAGTATGTGTTTTGGTTTTTTCTTACTTACCGCATGCCATCGAATCCATCATCGGAGCCATTGATGGTTAGCACGGGTGCACGGGCATATGCCTTTGCCACCCGACGATTTCGCTCGAAGACAATTACTTTGGCCCAGATTTCGTCGTCGATTTGCGTCCATTTGTCGAGCACTTCCTGTATATGTTCCTGCAATAATAAAATGGTGTGAGTGTGAGATTGTACAAGGCGTTTTAATGACGATCTTGTCTGGCAAAACGAAAGACTTAGGCGAGAAACTTGACTCGATGGAAAACCCAAAAACTTGCCAAAGCAGTCGCTATATAATGCCAACTATTTTCACTTTCCACACGCCAATATCTCTGCCTCTCTCTGTATGCCTGTGTTTATGTGCGTGTATTTTTGCAGCCAAAGTGAACGGCCTTGTTGGATTTGTTTCTTTTTTCACTCATTTTACTTTTACTATTTTTGTAGCCCTCTCTGCTTCCTCCACCGCAATCTTTGTTGCTCTGCTGCTCAGCTGCTATTACAAGTGTTTTGGTGTTTGTATCGGCAGTTTGTGTTTAGTTGTTGTTGTTTCTTGCTTTAACATTTCGTAGTTTGTTAAATAAAACTTTTCAAATCAAATCGGAGCAAATGTTTGCACGAAGCCCAGCCAGTAACCCAAGCCAAGCCAAGCCAAGCCAAGCACCGTAGTAAGACATAAAAATTATAGACTGTTGTTGGAGTTTGTTGCTTGGTGCTCCAGCTGCTTGAGCTGCTTGAGCTGTTAAGCTTTTGTTGCTATTGTTTATTTGTATTATACACATATATCTACCATATATATATGCCGAGCGCATAGCTACATATTTAAAGTGCTGCAAGGCTTTTGATTGCAGCAAGAAAATGCAACTCGCTTGCGTCATGCTTAAGTGCACTGCACATATTTTAAATTTTGTGTTATATATAAATACATTAGGCCATGTTATTAAGTAGCCGAACAACGCTGCAGTTCAGCTTTTATACCCTACATACATCTAAACAATAAGTATGCCCACTTGAATTTTGGAAAAACTTTGCAACACACAACGAAGTTTCGTTGACTTATTAAGCCATATTCGTATGCCAGTTTGTCTGTTTATATGAAAGCAAAGATTAGGGAACGTATAATGGCTTGAGTTAGAAAATTTAATAAGAATGTTCTACCAAACATCAAAAATAATAATTATAATAATAATTTATTTTGTTAACTCAACCAACTGTTGCAATCTTTCCTTTCTTTTTCTCTGTCTTAGCAATTACTTTACTTTTAACATCTATCGCAATTCTTTAAGCATAAATGAATTTGCATTTTTTTTTATTGGAAATCTTAAAGCTATTTTTAAATTTTTTGAAACTCAATATAAAGCCAAATACAGTAAAGCAGTTGTTTTGCTTGAGTGACATTAGCAGTTCAAGTGCAGTTCAGTCTCGCGAAGCCTATTACTTTAATCATTAAATGCAATTACATAAATGAAAAATAAAATAGAATATGTATGTTATTTTTAACAATATAGGAGCTATTTAATTTGGCAAGAACCTATCTCGTAAATCAGTTCAAGTGCAGTGTAGCCTGCTATTGCATATTGCTGTAAGTATTCATTTCGGTTTAATAAAAATAAAATACATTTTGGAAATAATCTTTAGAAGGTCTTGGGTACAGGGTACCAACGAGTTGGAGTACGCTATTGTTATTTTAATGATTGAGTCGCGATTTGGGAGAGTCGCGCACATGACGGCTCAAATGTCGCTTCAACCCACCCATTGTATGCCACACATTTTTAGCATTTTGAATTTGAATAACAAAGAAAAAATGGGGGAACGAAAAATATGTTAAAAAAACAACGCCTTTAAGCTAAAAACAAAAGTTCAATTAACCCGAACAAAAGAACAACAATAGCAACGGGGCTCAGTTAAACCAAAACCATTACCCCAGTAACCAACATACCGGCATTTTTGGTAGATTCAACAAAAAAACAAAAACAAATTAAAGTGTCTTGCCTTGCCTTCATGAAGAAGCAACATTATAAGGAAAAAAAAACCACGCAACATTGCTAGCTTCTTTGCTCAGTTCTATGAGCATAACCTGTGGCACAATGTTGGATATAAAGGCCGCTGGCATAAACTTGTCTAGGCAGCAAGCGATTGTAGGCCGCACCAAGCTGCCGTGCCGTACATTAAAAATGCAAATAAATCATGTAGTAAAACTTGTTAACCTTTTCGTATGGTCGCGTCTTATAAAATTATATACAAAATAACGTACTTTATCGCTTGTCTGTGCTTATATATATGTATTACTTTTTGATAGACTTGATTTGGCAGCCACTTTTGATTTCGTTTTTTAAATATATTCTTGCTGCCTTGGCCGGGGCAGATTCACTTTTGTTGGTATTTTCAAATTGGTTTCTAACACAAACGCACAGCAGGTTTTCATTTATTTCATTTTATTAAATTTATTTCATTTAACATTTTTTTGGTTACTGGTTTTGACGCAAGAATTTTTCTGAGACTGAGACTGAAGCTGAAGTGTTGTATTGGCGTTGAAAACAAGTTGTGTTTGTGGCGCTCTTTACATGTTTCACTCACTTTGCTAACAAAAATAAAAAAATCTTTTAGCAGCCTCCCAAAATGCCGAAGTTCAAGCAAGCCGCAATGGTTAACAACAATTTGGCACTACTGTTGCTGTTCTTTTTAATTAGCCGACTCTTTGGGCTGGGCAAAATGCAAGGGAATAGGCGCTGGCACAGGTACAGGCATATGTTTAATTCGGCATTACGTATACGTAATATTATCTGCCTGAGTTATGCACGACAATTAGTACGAAGTTTAAAAACAAGTTTTGTACAATTTTGTCAGCCAAATGGCAGGCAGGCAAACAGGCCACTTGACAACCAACACAAAACATTCTTGAGAAGCAACTGAACTGGTTTTTGTGTGTCTGTTTTTTAAAGCAGATATTTATTTAAATTATGTCGAGCAGCAACAAATGAAACTAAAGCTCGTGTTAGTGTCACGAGCCTGCACTGAACAGAAATTAATTTTTTTCGCAACTTCTGGCCGGGCATATTGGTAATAATGTAAACCGCATATTAAGCGGTATTTAAGCGTAATTAAAATTGCACAAAGCCTGCACCTTAAGTGCTGCCATCCGCAGCTCCGCATTGTGGTGGCATTATGCGGTATTTTGCCACATTTCGTCTCATTTTGCGTCACATTGTGGTAATGCCCAAGGCGGGATTGGAGTTAGTTTCACGGCCTTTATACACATGTCTGCAGATACGCTTAAATGGCATTGCAATGGACACCATTCGCATGCGCTGCTTACAACACGTGCATCACTAAATTGCTGCCCCTTCTCTATTCCCTACCAATACAGCATGAGCTTGAGAATATTATTTTGTTTAGCTGCCTGTCGCTTTTATTATTAAGCTTGCACTTTTTGTGTAAAATGCCGTTGAACTTTTGGAGTCACGACTTTGGCGCAGACAGGCAGCTTCTGCCAAGCTGTGGTGCTGATTGTGGCAGCAACAGATGCGCCAACGGCTCAAAGTTGACATTTAATAAAACGCTGCTGTCTTTCGTTTTCTGCGCAGCGAGCGACCGCACTTTGTTGTAATAAAGATAATCATTTCAAATTATAATGGACTTGATAAATTCATTTTGTGACAGGTTGCAGCCACAACAGGTAAGTCTGGCCCACTCCGGCTAAGAAATTGGCCTAATTTTGAGCTCAGTTATAAAATGTTGGATGTTGTGTCATAAATTATGACAAAAGTTCATTGATACGTACTCGTAAACATGTTTGTTTTTAATTATTCGGCGATTACGCGCCCCAAAGCTGATTGCCCAAGCACAGAATTTTAAATGTCGTCTGACCCATTTCTGTCGTACCGTTCAGAGTGGGCTTCAATAGCTTGGCAAATATTGAGTTTGCGTCTAAGTTATACAAGTGGGCGTGAAGCTTGACGGTTTTTTTTTTTTCAAATTTTGATTTTGTGTCTCCAAAGCTCAAAATTTATGTTGATTTTATGCATAGCCTTTTTCAACTTTGATGTGAGTATATCTATGGCGAAACAATATGCCTTTTAATAATAACACTTGGCTGCGTCTTCCGTCAATCTTTAGATGCCCCTCTCACATCTCCCCCCCTTTCCGCTCCAATGCAAATGAATCAATAACTTTTGCAGAGCAGGAAATCAATGGAGTTAAGTGATTTTCGTTGGAAAAATTTCATTTATATGGCAATATAAAAGACTTTCCTCATTGCTCTGCCAAACGCAGAGGCACATGCACAACACACACACACACACACAAACACACTTTCACACACATGCACAAGGCTTTGCTGTTGACGTTGATGAAGTGGCATAAAAAGCCGCGTCAAATTTTAAACTCCATGGCGGGCTTTAACCAAAGTGGTTTGCTAGCCGTTCGGGCTCGGGCTGTTAACGGCAAAATTATGCGCATGCGCCAAAAACAACTCACACACACTTATATTGTCAGGCATATGACTTTGTGTGTGTGAGTGTGTTGACTGGGTTGTAGTTTTTCCTACTTGCGTCAACGTGTTTGTGGCCAATCCTGTTGTACAACTCAGTGCCAGAGTCGGGCGTGAAACCGAAACCGAAACTGAAACCGAAACAGAAACCAGGTGAACGAGTTAACTACGCTGGCATGGAAGTGGAAAAGCGGCAGAAAAACACAAACTTGTCAGCCTAAGCAAAAAACTTTCATTTTCATGCCACTTTCCTGCGAGGCCTGCGGAAAGTGTCTAGAAGTTGCCGTTTGCCAACATTCTGCCGAAGAAAAACAGGTTTAATCTTCATGCCTATTGTTTTTGCAGTACGTCTGCTTCCATTAACCCCCCTTCCTCTTCCTCTATTTTATAGAATTTGTTGTGTCAGTGCTGAAGCTCATTACATACTCTGGTCCAAAACAAGTTCGTTGCTACAGTCTTTTGTTTGCGCCCTCCATTCACTCGTCACACTGCGGCTGCCTATGCTGATATTGTCAATTGGCTGACTTGGTTCCCAGCTAATAAATTCGTAAACAATATTGAAAATAGCACAAGCCAGATATTGCTCAATAAATGGCTTGAAGGGCTCAGCACACAATACAGACAGTCTATGGGGCTAAATGGAGGGAAATCGAAAAGCAAATCGTTGCCAAAACGACACAAAAAAAAGAAAACGTGCCATAATTTGCTTTGCTGCATGGAAAAACTATAAGCAACTAATGTAGACGTAGGCGTGCAATTTTGAGCAACTTTTTGAAACGCGGTTTCGCCAACTACAAATAGAAATTGTATTAATATAATTACCCGCTCACGCTAAATGCACAATGCAGACACAAAAACTTATATGGAGGTATATGGTTTAAATAATTGAAGCAGCAGAGTTGTATGGTGGGCTCAATTTCTTTTCGTTTACAATTTTCAATAACACAACTTTGAAACCAATTGCTATCTTACCAAAATCATGCAATCGTTGTCACATCAAAGTAATATTGTCTATCAGATGATAGAAATGAACCATTTTCTAATCGGTTGAAATAATTATTAATATAAATATATAAATCTTAATCTAATGTATATTGCTGTAAAAAGTGGTAGATATGTAGATATTACTGCAATTTGATTCGATTCGATATTCCAACACAGGCTTTGTTGTTGCTTTTATATTGTTTTACCTATGTCGACAGTCTCTGTTTATAGAAGTAGATTAAATTAATAATTAAATATCTATCATGCATCGCCGTCGGCTGAAGTTTTATAAAAAGTTTGAAGTCTAAGACTATTGCTTTAGTAAATTATAATTCAAAATAACTGTGCAGTCTCTTTTTGAATTGCTGGCTTAAATAAAAGCAACAAAATGTTCTGACCCAAATATTGATATATTATCATATAATATGAATACAAGTTACAAAATATATCATACAATATTACTTAGCGCGTATTAAGCTGTCATGCAGTCGTTTTTTTTGGCTGTGTGCTTAGGCATTTTTTATAATGCTCGATTAAAATTTATGATAAAATCCACTTGGAAATAAAACATAAATTGAAAATTATGCCCAGCTATTAAATTTTGAGTAGCCAAAACGCAATTCAGCTTTGATTGGGTTTAACTGTCGATGGCAAGCACATAAAACGTTGGCATGAAGCGGCACGAGCGCCTCGTTGGTCATGCTTAGATGTTGGCTTAGAGGACGCAGTTAACCCAGTTAAATAATATATTATTTATGACGCGTTGTGCTAGCTTTGATAGACGACGCACTTAGCACACACACACACACATACAAATAGTGTAACATGTAATAGACCAACTTGGCCATATGTGTAGGCCGGACGATTTGCCAAACTAATAAAGCAATAGCAATGCTTTAAAAGCGCATAAAATGGCTTCAGGTGGAAGAGATCTAAAGAGCAAGAGAGATGTGGTTTTTTCCCCTATACTTGTATTATTGCCCAAATGCTGACATCAATGAAATTCCCACTCATACACACACACTAACACAAACGCTGGCATCTACGTTTATTGCTGAGCTGGACTTTAGGGTTACGTCTTGTCATGCATTGTTTTGACTTGTTGGCCTATCGTCGCCGCCACTGCTGCTGCTGTAGTTTTTGTTGTTGTTGTTGCGTCAACTACAAATGGACATAGGCAAATTATAAATGCACAACGCAACATTATGGCCTAACGGTAATTAATGCAATTGGTCAATACAAACAGCTAACCGAGCAAGCAACAAAAACAAAAACAAGCCAAGCTAAGCAAACCCAAGCCAAGCCAAGCCACGCCTGACCTGAATGCGAGGCCTTCTGCTGGTAAACGTGTCAAGAATATGGCATGCCCCGTGCCACAGGAAAATGGCCACAAATCATAGAAAACTTTTAAGCGGAAGTTTCGAGTAAACGACTCCATACACAACCGCCTCGAAACACACAAAAGCTGTTGGCGGCGCTCAGTCATCGCCATAAGCCATCAAAACACAATGCAGTTAGCAGCCTTGTTGATTTTCGATTTCGGTAGCTCTTTGTTTGGCATGCACATTAGCTTCTAACTAATTGACGGTTGACACAAACTTTACTTGTTTGCCGCTCATTAACTGCCAGCCTCACTCATTCTAATGCGAATAGCTGCAATCGTCTCTTAACGTGCCGCTAACGAATGCTAATGAATTGCATTTGATTGCCACATCAGTCGCCAAAATAATTATCTGCCGCATCATCTGGGCCGACTCAATATAACAACAATAAACTGAACTGAACGTACCTTATATAATTTGTCTTTTTGGTACCAAACGTCTTCTTCCTCCTCTTGCGGATGGAATGACTGATCCAGGCTTAGATCATCACGGGAACGTGATAGAATTTTTCTCCTCGATACCATTTTGTTGTCGTATATATATCTGTAAAGATAAAATTTGAATCATTTTAATGCATTACATATGTGTTGTACCTATACTTATATGTGTATATATACTCGTAAATGTCGGCTTTTATGTTTGCCGCCTTTGCGGGCTGTCAGTAAAGAATTTTAGATGTACATACATATATTTATATAACTGTATAGCTGTGTAACCCTTTTGGACTCTTGTTTAAATGTTGACAGACCGTCAGTTAAAAATGTGGGCGCACCAATCTCGACTGCCAAAAAGTTCAACGCACTTAGCCAGGCCAAAAAATAAAAAATAAAAAAAAAAAAAAATTAATTTATGACCTAACTTCCTTTTGACAAGTCATCCCATCATCCCAGCTCTGATCGGAACACTCAGCTGTGCAAACTTTGCTGTTTTATTTTGCTTCTCAGATTTTCTTTGATAAATCTTTAAACTTAAATTACCAGCAGCTGTAACTGCAGTGAGTTCAGGCAGAGAGAATAACAATTTGTTGGGTGGTTAAATATATTTTCGCCACTGTGCAACAGCATTTTGTATTTCAGCGCCGCAATTACGCATCAAAATTTATGTAAAACATGATTATTTGTTTGTGCGCGCACTTTTACTGCATTGCTTGCAATATCAGACTACATATTCATGCTGTTGTTCTTGTTGTTGCCACCAGGTACATTGTTATACCCTTACTCAAACATTAATCTGTAAACTTACGAACAGGAAGGGGACTGTCTTTACTTGCTAATATAAAACGTTTCACTACTTTTTTTTCATTGAAGCAGTCCGATGCTCTTGAAAACCACATTTTACTATATTTTGTAAAAATAACTTACATTAAAACAGAATTTGAATATAAATAACAATAAATTCAGCTATAATTCCTAGAAAATAAATTGGTATCAGCTGAAACACTTCAATTATATTGTATGGAAAAGATTCGAAACTGCTGAACAAATTTGGCGCTGCACAAAAATATTGTAATAAATATTATAATTATTAATTGAACTATTCGTTGTTGTTGGAAGAGCGTGTAAAGTTCGGTGTGGCGTTAAATATATATTTTTGCTGTTCTTTTGGGCTTGTGCTCTGCGACTGCTACGCACTGCAGATACCATCCAAAGCACGTTGCCCACTAACAAAGAAAATGACAAAAATCACCTGCAAGTTGAGCCAAAAAAAGACAGAAATTCAAAAACAAAAGGCAAAGAAGAAACGAAGACGCCGTTTGTTTTTTCACGGCTCAGTCTGTCAAGTTGATGATGAGCAAACGCTCGTTGCATAATAAACACCTAGCGGCCAGATGAGGGGCGGGCGCTACTATTGTTGGTGCTTTTTTTTGCAGGTAACTAGTTAGGCGGGCAGGTGGCTGGTGGTTGGCGGCAGAGGGCTGGCTGGTGTGTACTTGTATGTAGGTAGATGGATAGAAAATGTTTTCAAAGCTTTGCCAAATGACAACGACAACTACAACAAAAAGCTCTTGGCGCAATCGTGTGCGCTGAGTGGCGTCTTTTTTTTAGTCTTTCTTTGCTTATGCTTTCGTATGCAAATATCAAGTGTTGAGTGCGTGAGTGTGCGTGAGGATTGCCAAACTGTTGTCAGATTTACACGCTCACGCTTTTGTGCTTTGTTTTGTTCTGCTGCTGTGGACAAACATTCGTATACACCAGGCAATCAAAAAGACGCGCGCCACTATTATTATTTATTTTTATTATTGTTGGCCTCTTTAATTGCCAAGCATGTGTGCGTCTGCGTGTGTCTGTTTGTCACCTTTGCCAACTCTTTGTCTATCTGTCTGTCTGTCAAAAGATTGCCAATAGCTTTCTCTTGACTTTCCTGCGCTATGAAAATGATTGAGTGATTGACTCACTGGCCATATGCTGCAAGGGCCACTTTTAAATTTCTAGCTAGCAGCTGCTTAGCCAAAATGCCATAAATTAGGGCCGACATGGCCGTTGCCTACTTTTGCGCAATTCTAGCTGCCGCCATTATTATTGTCAACGCGTCACTCGAACAAGCTAAAGAGCTGAGTTAAGCTGATCGTCGCCATATTGTGCGATATGCTAGTGCAGTACAGATCGCAGATCGCAATCGTATAACAAATGTTGCCTGTTGGATTTATGCAACGAAAACCGTTAAATTGTTCGACTAGCTGACAATTTTTCTGCGCTCACTCCGTGCTGTTTTTTGTTGTTGCTATTTTTGCTTATTTCTTGTTTTTGTCGCCATTTGCTGCTAGTTTATTGAGTTGCATTTGTGATTTTTTTGCGCCTTTAGCTTGCGCCAGTATGCATTGTTGTATATTTTATCTTGTAGATATTTCCAACTACTGTTACGAGTATTTATGGCTCCGTTGTCATTCACTTTTTTTTGTTGTAGCCACTGCTGCTGCATGCAAATGTGCGCCCATTTGGCAACTGAAAGGGCACAACACACATACTACATAGTACCATACACAATATATATGGGTATATAAAACATAAATCTGTGTAGAACCACGTCCAGAGCAACTGTATACAGTTGTTTCAACAAGGCACGTATAGTCGCCTAGCCGACGTGTTCTAGTTTGTTGAGCTATAGTACATCGAAGCGACGGGCAATTACGTGCACTGCATACTAACCAGCTCAGTTCTGAATGTTCTTGTTCCTACAAAGCCACACAAGACAGCAAAAAATGTGTGTTCCAACAAGCAATTGGGGCTATTAAATACACAGTAATGCTCTAAATTCAATATCCGCCACTGAGCAAAAAAGACTTGTCGACCGTCAAGCAATAAGAAATAAAATTCAGAAAATTAAACTTTATCGGATACATCTTCAATACATTTAAAAGAAAAATAATAATAGAACACAGAATATTAATAAATGCAAGTTCAGTAAGAATTGTTTAAATAAAAAGACTAAAAACAAATAATCTTTCTATAGAGATTAAAAGGTATTATTATTATACATATACGTACTATATTTGCTTTATACCGTTAAGTGTAAATTGTTTGCTCACTCACAATAAGAAGGTTGATGAAATTAATGCTGTGTTCAAAGGTGGAAATAATTATGGTTATATATTCAAAACTATTTCTTGTAAAAAAAATACAGAAAAAGCAAAATACATTTGACATATGGTATAGTATAGGCATAAAGTAAAAGGCATTGATAATTTTTCGGGCAATGTCACAACCAATACTGAAGCCGTTTTGTTAATTAAGTTTATGACCATTTTGGAGTTTGGTCGGATCTGCCATACCGCAAAAATTGCTATCTGTTAAGTGAAATTAAAACTCTTAAACGACATTTTATTTTGTTCCTGGTAATGCGTGGCATGTTTATGTAGCGGATTTCTTGAAAAGAACGCTGACAACTCAAAAATTATATGACTGACCATTAACGTCCCACATCACAAAAGTAAAGTTCTTTGGGATTCGCACAAACCGCAACAGAAATAACAAAACAAAAAATTACGGATGCTGGCTAAAATTTTGCATTCCAGTGATGCAAATGGCCGATAAATGTGCCGCTTCGCGCTCTCAAGTTCCCTTGGCAACGGCGGCAAGTGGTGCTCAAATATCCTGCACACTCATAGCATACAAGTATGCGTTGGTTACTGTATATTTCTGGCATATTTCAGGCAGGCCGGCAGACGTATTGCAGCTCTTTGTTGGCTCACTGGCCCGTGTGTGTTTGCTTCTGTAAACAGCGCGGTCGTCACTACCAGGCCGAGCTGAATTCGAGTGCACTTGGGGCCGCAAAATGAAGCCATCAACTGTGGCCTGTTTGTTGTTTTTGCTGATTTGTCTTGTTTAATTTTGCATAATTTTTGCTCTTTTACAGTTATATTTCACTGCATGACCAATACTCGTACCACACATAAATCGCCCGAGGGAAATACACAACTACACACACATACTATAGTAGGTACAATATACCTACACTTGTGACTACGACGCTCGCAGTTGTGGGGCATTCACTTTCAAATTTTGAAATTTGAAAATTGAAATTTTTGAGCAAGTTCAGGCAACTGGTACACGCACAAATCTTTGGCGACTTTCACAAAGCGTAATGAGCAATTTTCATATCGTTTGATTGCCTTCGAAAGTGATCAAGTGCAGTGCGGAAATTGTCCATGACAGTTTACGAATTACAGTCATTGAAGTAATCCCAAAAAAATGCGTATTTAAATTAGCCTTTGCACGATTACAAAATTTGCACACATCGAGCAGGCGAATTAAAAAACAAACATAATAGTTATGATATCAAAAATATTTAATTCAAATGCAAATTGCTGGCACGGAACTTTCACAATTTCCTCTTATAAACTGTTAAAAACAGAAACAAAATACAAAAATTATAAACATAGAAATAGGCAAGTGAAATTATACTAAAAAAATTCATTTCAAATTCGATGAGCTTGCCACATTTTCCGCAACGCTATTGTTATTGGGGTTCAATAACTTGCTGCTTCGTATTGACATTTTGTCAACAGTTTTATACACGAAACCAAAAACAAAAAAACAACAACAAAATAACGAAAACCACTAAGAGCTGCTTTATTACTACAACAAGCGAGGATGCTTTGCCAAATGGCGTTTCCCATTCGAATGTTGAACAGAAATTGATGAGTTGCGACAGCGATTGTGATTGCGATTGCAAGTGGCACTGCAACCAGACGAAATAGAAAGTAAACTACTTCGTGTTTTTCTTGTTGTTTTTACTGAAATGTGAAAAATCTTTATCGCCGCGAATTAGTGGATGCTTAAATTGATGAGAATTTGTGTGCAGATTTGTGAAAGAAATCGTGTTTAACGAGGCTACTTATATAATTTAGTTATATTACTACGCTGAAGCCCCCCATAATAAGGTATGGCTTTTCTTTTGAATTCTTATTGAGCAAAATCGTTTTCTAGCTTCTGGCATTTACCTGCCCGCCTAAGTATGTGTTGAAGACATAATACAAACTTTTATTGTTTTTAAGGACAATATTGTACATTTGACAATATGATTG